TCTATCTATCTATCTATCTATCTATCTATCTATCTATCTATCTATCTATCTATCTATCTTATTTGTGCATATTTTGTGTGTGTGCGCACCAGTGTTTGTACGTGTGTGTGACATGAGAGCAGCACTCACAGAGTCCTGAAGAAGGTTATAGATCTCCTGGAACTGGAGTTATAAACGGTTCTGCTGCATCATGAATGATCTGAGAACTGAATGCAGGTCCTCTACAAGAACAGCTAGAGATATTAACTACCGAGCCATCTCTTCAGCCCTTGCCTTTTAATATCTTTAAGGAAGGTTTTGTCATAAAGTTTACTTGAAGAAAATAGTGAGGGTTATCCTTTCCATACGTTCTTTACCCTGAGAAATGTTTATTCCAACAAGATAACTACAATACTAGTTACCTTTTTTTTGTATCATTCTCTTCTTGAAGACTTTATCAATAATAGCAGTTTATTCTGTAGCCATTTTTCAATAATTAATAAACATATTTATTTTAGGTTATTGTCTTGAGAATAACTGGTGCTTAATGAATGTTTGTATTAAATGTAGTCTATGTAGGATTTCTTTTCTTTAATTTTATTTATTTGTTTATTCATTTTGTGTCCCCAATGCAACCGCCTTCTTTGCCCCCTCCCAGTCCCATCCACTCTTCCTCCTCTTCCCCTATTCCCTTTCCCTAGTCCCCTGATATAGGAGGACCTCCTCCCCTTCTATCTGACCCTGTCTCTCTTATCTTGCCAATAAATATATTTATTCAATCATATAAACAACTTTTAACCACTTGAATATAATTATTTCTTAACTATTTGTATGGTTTATATGTGCTCAACCATTAAATTGTTAAATTTATATTGTGGCATTAACAGATGTTTTATAAAACTATATTATATAGATTTATATGTATATGTATTTCACAGTTTGTACAATAAATCAGAGATGGGAGGAACACAATCACTTACTGTTTCTGCATTAAAATGTTGCAGATCACAGATCCAAATAACAAAAGATATGAAGTGCCACATCAGTTTGTACAAGAAGTTCCTGGAATCCCAGCTGCTGACGCACTTTATGATGTTCAGGTCTCAGAAAAGCCATTCAGCATTAAAGTGATCAGGAAAAGCAATGGCAGAGTCTTGTAAGTGATGCTTACATTTTGCGTTTATATTGGTCCAAATAGGTGGCCAATGTCATCCTGATGCCAGAGAATAAGGTCATCTTAATACCAGTGCCAAATCACAAGTATACAATTTTTCCCCATTAAGAGGATGTGGAGATCTATAGATTACATAATGGTAAAATAGTTTTGATTCCCCTGGAAGAAATAAACTAAAACACAAACATGAAAACACCAGTGGCTAGCCAATCAAAGGAAGAAATGGAAGAAAGGAGGGTAAATTTTTGTACTGCCAAAATTTACTCATATGGAAGAATGGCCATGTACTTCGCTCTTGTTATTTCTTTCTCTAAAACAATTCTCAGAGCTAGATGGTTTCTATTCAGTGAGAGATGAATTTCCATGCCAATATCAAAATCATTTTCTCACACATGTGGAATGTATTGTCTGGGTAAAGGAGTAATTGTTGCAAAGAACTTAGTAAAATTTAGCATTTTCCTATAAAAATACAGCATCTGTATGGTTAGCATTACACATACACACACACGCCCACACACATATTAAGAATTAATAATAAACAGTTATGAATTTTAAAAGCGGCAAGCAAGGATGTATGGGAAGATTTGGGGGAACGAAGGGTAGGGAAAATGATATAATTATATTATAATGTCATACATAAAAGAAAGAATTATATTAAGACTAAAATAAATAAATTTTAAAAGGAAACGTGAAGACACAGGTTCTTATGTTACCACAAAATACAATGTTAAACAATGCCAAAAATCAAATCTCATAAATTTACTTTGACTAAAGGTATTTGGACATTTTTATAGTTTGCTTTGTGCTATAACCTAAAAATTTGCTTTGTGCTATATCATAAAAATATCCTAAATTCTAAGCAGAGAAAGAGACACACTTCACTGAATCACTTCCACGTAAAATCTTGAATGTCTAGCCACAGACAGAGTAACACGATTGCTTATCTCGGTCTGGGTGGCAAAGGATAGGAGATTTTTGCTAATGGGTTAAACACTGAGAATGTTTTTCATGACACTTTTATTGTTTTGGGGAAAACTGACAGTTGAAATTAAGCTTGGCTGAATGAAAACAGATAGAGTGATGCATTATACAGTGCCCAGCTCAACAAAGCACTGTTTAAACCTGGGCCTGCAGAGTACGGTACACGACCTTTAAAAACACCGCTTGTTGTGCTGTTTATTTATTTATTTATAGCTTACATCTGTATAACATCGGTGATAGTGGTAGCTAAATTCTGAGAATGTGACTAGGACTAGACGGGAGGACGTCTATGAAAACTGTGTCGAGGAAAACCATGTTCTGTTTATGCTATAAACAAGTTCCATTTGTGGTACGACTTGAACTTTTTCCATTCATAATCGCAGATGAAGGTTGACACCTTAAAGAATAAAATGTCCTAGATAATGTCAACATTAAACTAAAACAACGTACCTTCTTTTTTTTCTTCTCCTTTTGTGCTTCAGGTTTGATACCAGTATTGGTCCACTGGTGTACTCCAACCAGTATCTGCAGATTTCCACAAAACTTCCAAGTGAATATATTTATGGCTTCGGGGAACATATTCATAAGAGATTTCGTCATGACTTATACTGGAAAACGTGGCCAATCTTTACTCGCGATGAACTACCTGGTGATGTACGATATCTGGGCTTTATAGATTACATTGTACTCTGGAGAAGTTGATGCAATCACTTCTATTTGACAACATTAGTTAGGTGACAGTGCTGATTAAATTATTTACATAACTGAAATATCTACCCTAGAATCAAACTTATTTTTAACTTTTACCTGTCTGTTACATTTCTATATTACTTTTGGGTTCAGTATAAATAAAAGGGAATAATATATTTGTACACGAAGAGTACATTTTCAGAATCAGGGACTGTCTTATACAAGCAATACATGCTGGATTGTATACACCTTTTCTTTTTTAAATTTTTATATTTTTATATTAATTACAGTTTATTCATTTTGTATCCCAGCTGTAGTCCCCTCCCTCATTCCCTCCCAACCCCATCCTCCCTCCCCCTTCTTCACACATGCCCCTTCCCCAGTCCACTGATAGGAGGAGGACCTCCCCTTCCATCTGACCCTAGCCTATCAGGTCTCATCAGGAGTGGCTTCATTGTCCTCCTTTGTGGCCTGGAAGGCTCCTCCCCCCACAGGTGGAGGCGACCAAAGAGCCAGCCACTGAGTTCATGTCAGAGACAGTCCCTGTTCCCCTTACTAGGGACCCACTTGGAGACTGAGCTGTCATAGGCTACATCTGAGCAGGGGTTCTAGGGTATAGCCATGAATGGTGGAAGTATCCAGTTTTACAGTATCTTCAAACATAATGTGTTTGGGTTGACCTTCCTTCATCTCCTTGGAAACCTCTCACCTTCTTGTTCCTCAACTTGTATCCTTCTACCCCTGTAGTCTTTCTGCTCTTTTCTGGCTTATATGCTCTGTTACCCCTTTCTTTTCTCAGAGTCTGTTTCTCTTCTTCTCATGGTCATCTTTCTGTTTGCATGACCTGTAAAATGAGAGAGTGAAAGAAAAATGAGAGGATGGAGGTTTAAAGCCAGAATTCAAATCTGAGAGGGAACATAAGGACATGTGTAGCATTTGTCTTTCTGAGTCTAGGTTACACAGCTTATTATAGTACTTTCCAGCCCCCTTCATTTTTCTTAAAATTACCATTTTCTAAAAACTGAATAAAAATCTATCATGTATATTTATGGCAACTTAAACATTCATTTATTAGTTGAAGGACATCTAGTCTGGTTGATGCACCTGCTCTTGTGCATTCTGTAGCAGAAAGCGATGAATGTGGAGGTTATCTTTTTGGTAGGATATGGATCCCTGAGTGTATATACCAGAATTGGTATATACCTGAAATATGGAAACTTCGTTTTTAGGTTTTTTGAGGAACTTCCGTACTGATTTCCATAATGGAGGTACCAGTTTATCCTTCCCACATCAATGAATATGTGTTATTTTTACACACATTCCCATTTGGTTTTTCAGCAATTTGTTGTTTGTTTAAATTTTTAATGTATGTATTTTGTTTTTATATGCTCATGAATTTTCTGTGCACTCATGTCTGTGCCATGTGCATGTATGTTACCTGCAGAGGTGTGAGGAGGTCATGAATCCCTAGAACTGGAGTTACCAGTTCTGAGCTTACATGTGGATGTGGGGAATAGAGTTCAGGCCCTCTGTAAGGGACTCTAGTATTCCTATCCACTGAGCCAACTCTCTAGCTATCTTTTTTTTCTTGATGATAAACAATCTTATTCGAAAGATATAAAATATAAATTGTTTTAATTTGCTTGTTCCTAATGGATAAAGATACAGTATAAATTTTAAAATATTTTTATCAAAATAAAAAACATTTAAAAAATGTATTTCTATTTTGGACCTTAGGGAAGCGGCTTAATCCTCATTCAGATGGGCAAACAGGATAGACCAGAAGTAGGAGAAGATAGGTAGCAGGACAGGAGTATTCCACAGGGAACCTCTGAAAGATTCTACCCATTAGGTTATTGAAGTGCATGCTAAGACTCATATCCAGACTTTGGACACAGTACAGGGAATCTTACCGAAGAAGGGGGAGATAGAAAGACCTACAGGGGAAGGAGCTCTACTAGGAGACCAACAGAGCCAAGTTATCTGGAGTTCTTGCAGAGGCTGATGAGTCAACAAAGGACCATGCATGGAGAGAACCTAGACCCCATGCTCAGATGTAGCCTATGAGCAGATCAGTCTCTATAGAGGTTCCCTAGTAAGGAGAACAGTGGCTGTCTCTGACATGGACTCGGTGGCTGGCTCTTTGATCACCTCCTCCTGATGAGGTGGCCTTCCTAGACCACAGGGAAAGAGAAACAAGACAGTCCTGATGAGTCAGGTAGTAGCGGAGGAAGACCTCCCCTATCAGTGGACTAAGGGAGAAACATAGAGGGGGAAGAGGAAGAGAGGGTGGAACCAGGAGGAGATGAAGGAGGGGGCTATAATCAGGATACAATGTAAATAAATTGTAATACATAATAATAATAAAGAAAAATTTTAAATAAAAAATTTAAACTTCCAGGACTTCCTAACGCTGCAAAAGAGGATGATAGTCAAAATGCCTAGCTTTTGCATGGATTTGTTTCTTTATTAATGTGAAATTCATAAAAGATCAATCACTAAACTAAGCTTTACTTATTACTCAGTTACCTTTATTATTTTTATACCAATGCTAACACTATTATTTCTCCAAATAAGTAAATGGATGGTTGGTTTTAAGGAGCTCAGTATGAAAGTACTGATAAATTCTAGCAGTCTTTGTTTTTGTAGCAACAGCATTGCCATCTGAAATAAGCACCAGGATGAAAGCTACTTCATTCTGTCTTTCTATCCAGGCTTTCTTTTAAGCTTCTGTCTAACAAGAATTAGAAAGTCTTAGGAGATGAGGGAGGGAGGGTAGGGTTGGGAGGGAATAAGGGAGGGAACTACGGCTGGGATACAAAGTAAATAACCTTTGATTAATATAAAAACATAAAAATTTAAAAAAAATAAAGACTTACATTTCCACTGTCAGCATTTTAATAATTTGCCAATATAATCTCATGTTCTCATCTATGCCTGTCAAATACACTGCAGAAATTTAGGATAGACATCTTTCTGTACCCTATGAAAAAAATGAGTCCTGATGTGTACGTGTGTGTGTGTGTGTGTGTGTGTCTGTATACCATAACATCAATATAGCTTATTCAAATATATTTAATTCCAGTAAAGCAAATATATATTAAAAACAGGAGACATTATTGTGTATTATGTACACATTGTGTATTGATGAGTATTAACTAACACTCATATCATATTTTGCTCAAAAGATTATTAACTGCAGTAGATAATATTATTTTTATACTATAATCATTTATGTGATATATAAAGAGGAAAGACAACATAGAGTCATAGAATGGTAAAATAAAAAAGCAAGTGAGTTTGTGAAGCATATTTTGTCTTTATTTTGATTCTGTTCAATATTTAAAATCTGATACTTCGCCTTGCAGAATAATCACAATCTCTATGGACATCAGACATTCTTCATGGGCATTGAAGATAACTCTGGGAAGTCATATGGTGTTTTTCTTATGAACAGCAATGCAATGGGTAAGTATAACTTATTCAATGACATGTTTCTATAAAATATAACTTGTTGTGTAAGTACTCTTTTGATTCTTATAGATATCTGATAGATATCTGATTTCAAAATACACACACTACTGTGTCAATAGTAACAGTGTGTGGATTTTTTTGGAAAGTTATAAAATAGGTTTAAGTTGTGTTTTTTTTTTTTCTTTTTTGGCAAGGTATACATGGTGTTGTGACACACAGATTATCTATTTCCCTTCAGAATTAAGCTGAAATGCATGCACACAAAGAGGTGTTTTTCTTAGCCTCACTGCCAAGATAAGTTAAAACACTGTTCTCAGAGGAAACAAAAACCAAAAAGGTCTTTTTGGTCATTGAAGTAGTTACATTCATTTTAAGAAATGTAAAATCTTTTGTTTTCTAAGTGATGTGAATAGAGTATCTTTATTAATTTATTATTTATTACAATTTATTCTCTTTGTATCCTGGCTGTAGCCCCCTCCCTCATTTCCTCCCAATCCCTCCCTCCATTGCTCTTCTTCCCCTATGCTCCTTCCCTAGTCCACTGATAGGGGAGGTCCTCCTCCCCTTCCATCTGACCCTAGCAATCAGGTCTCATCAGGACTGGCTGCATTGTCTTCCTCTGTGACTCAATGTTAATGAAAAGTTACAGTTATTCAGCAAGTGAAGTGTTTTTTATAGTTAACCAGTCAAATGTGTGGTAATATGATCTTTCAATTAATCTTAAATTGCTGTAACTAAGTGGGAGACACTTTTTTCTTTTTATTTATAATAATTTATTCACTTTGTATCCCAACTGTAGCCCCCTCCCTCATCCCCTCCCAATCTCATGTTCCTTCCCTCATCTCCTCCCATGCCCCTTACCCAGTCCACTGATAGGGTAGGTCCTCCTCCCCTTCCATCTGACCCTAATGTATCAGGTTTCATCAGGACTGGCTGCATTGTCTTCCTTTGTGGCCTGGCAAGGCTGCTCCTCTCTGTGGGGTAGGGAGAAGGTGATATAAGAGCCACCACTGAGTTCATGTTCAGAGACAGCCTCTGTTCCACTTACAAGGAAATCCACTTGAAGACTGAGCTACCATTAGCAACACATTTGCCCTTATTAGGAGTCAAGCTTTATGTTCCTCTATGTGATTTCCAGAGGAGTTATGCCAACTCTGAAAAGGACAAGGCCTGTCACAGACCTTACAAGTGGCAGATTTCTGCTTTTCTCCTATTTTCAGTAGCTTACTTCTCCTTAATAGTTGAACATTCTGTGCAGTAATGTGGTTAACAAGATACTCTTTAAATGTGTGCTATACTTGTTTTATCATTATGTACATTTTAAAAATTAGGACTAATTTTTCCTCTTTCTATTTCTAGAGATTTTCATCCAGCCAACTCCAATAATTACTTACAGAGTCACTGGCGGCATACTAGACTTTTACATATTTCTTGGGGACACACCAGGACAAGTAGTTCAACAATACCAAGAGGTTTGTTTTACACTGAATTTGTGAATTATTTCCCACAATACTTTAATGAGTTGTTAAATAACTTACATATATGGCCTTCTTTCCTACATGTATTTTACTTGTCAAAATTCAGAGACAGAAGTTTACAATTTTTCTCTCCTATATAACAAAACCTGCATATATTTAAATGTCTATTTTTATTTAGATTAACTTATGATCAGATAACTGAGCTAAGAAGTCTTATTTATTTGATGTTACCTATTAAAACTTTACTAAGTCATGGTATTTTTTGATAGAATATAGCAAAAGGAATTATATAATTTTGGAGAACAGGAATATCAACTAAAAGTGTGGATCATTGCCAAGTTTGATCAAAATAGTAAATGAGGTTATGACAAAGTATGTTACTTTTGTATTATTATTTCTTTTTTTTTAATTTTTATTTTAGGTACATTGGTGTTTGACTGGATATATGTTTATGTGAGGGTATCAGATCCCCTGGAAAAGGAGTTACAGACATTTGTGAGCTGCCATGTGGTTGCTGGGAATTGAACCCAGGTCCTCTGGAAGAGCAGTCAGTGCTCTTAACCACTGAGCCATCTCTCCAGCCCTTTGTATTATTATTTCATTTTTACTTTTATTTTTGTCTTTAATTTTCCATGATAGAAGAGTACATCTTTGCAAACATTTTCTTGAGAATTTGTTTACCATAAAACCCACAAAAGACGTGGGACACAACAAAGTAAATGTATTCCAAGAAAGTTTTGGCTGATTTTGCAAGAAAAGAATAGCATTTAGATGGGGTTCTGTACTAACAGTATGAAATTAAATGCATACTAGAGGCACAGCAGAACATTAACCACAATAACATTAGCCATTCTAAGGACAGTTCACTTTGCTGAAACTAACTACCTGTCCGTTCTCTTCAAGCTCATTGGACTACCAGCAATGCCAGCGTATTGGAGTCTTGGATTTCAACTGAGTCGCTGGAATTACAAGTCACTAGACGTAGTCAAAGAAGTAGTCAGAAGAAACCGGGAAGCTGGCATCCCATATGTAAGAAGAGTGAAGGGTGCTAGGGATTGGGGGATTTGGGAATAATCGTTATCATATAGTAAGAAATGACTCACAGTGTCAGGATACATACATACATAAGTATGTTAGATTGATGGTCTAGAATATTTATGTTTATAAATACTTATAAAACTGATTTAATGGTAAATTTATTATATATTCACATTTGATGTTTATAGTTGGTTAAATTTATAAACTGTTTTCTTTTTTGAACTTTTTTAATTTCTCACTTTTTCCCCCTTCCTCCAGACCCTATCACATATACCTTATTGTTTTGTTTTTCAATTAATGGCCTCTGCCTCTTTTTTATTTGTTTTACTGTGCTATCAAGTTTTCATTGATCTTCATTTATTTATTTATTTAGTTGTTCATTTTACATCCCAATCACAACCCTTCTCCCTCTTCTCCTCCCAGTCCTATCCTACCTTCCATTTCCCCTCACATTCCCCACCACAGGGTAACAACCTATTCCCGGTAACAACTTACTCTGCCACATCAAGTCATACCAGGACTTAGTGCCTCCTCTTTCCCTGAAGCAAAACAAGGCAGCCCTGCTAGGGAAACAGGATCCAGAGTCCAAGTCAGTGACAGCCCCTACTCCAATTGTTAGAGAATCCACTTGAGGACTAAGCAGGCCATCACTTCATATGTGTAGGGAGACTAGGACCAGTCCATGCATGTTCTTTGGTTGGTGGTTCGGTCTCTATGAGCCCCCATAGGGAGCTTCTTGTGGTGGCCATAACCCCTTTCGATCTCTCAATCCTTCCCTTCAGTCTTCCACAAGCTTCCCTAAGCTCTGCCTAATGTTTGCTGTGGGTCTTTGCATCTGTTTTCATTATCTGATGGATGAAGCCTCTCAAATGACAGTTATTCTAGGTTCCTGTCTACAAGAAGAGCCGAGTATCATTAATAGTGTCAGGGGTTGGGTCTCTCTCATGGGATGGGTCTCAAGTTGTGGAACAGGTTGGGAGGACAGGATCAGGCATGGGGAACATGGGCATGGAGGATGAGGGTGCTGGGAGAGAGAAGGGAAATTGATGTCGGAGCATCTCTGGGACAAGCTAGAGACCTGGGAAGGTGAAGTTTCCTGGGAAGATATGGGGGTGATGCCTAGCTGAGACTCTTAGCAGCAGGGTATTCTAACACTGAAGTGGCCACATTCTACAGCCAGGCAGGACTTACTGTGGAGGGAGGGGACACCAACCAACCCACAAAACCCTTGACCCAAAATTTGTCCTATCTAAAAGATGTGCAGGAATAAAAGATGAAACAGAGGTTGAGGGAATGGCACCAATGATTGGCCTAATTTGATGCCTCTTTTTTATTAACTGCTCAAAAATACGTACTTTTCAAGAACTTATCAGAAGTTCTTTATTAATTTATTAATTTAAATTTTAAGAATTCATAAATGAGTGTTATGTTTAATAACTTCTGTGTTCCCACCATTCCTTCTCAAATTCATAACCTCTTATTCAATTATTGTTGTACACACATATATGTGTATATAAAAACATCCTGCTGAGTGCACTGACTATTGCCTGTATGTAATTAGGACTAACCACTTAGGATTAAATAACCTATTCCAGCTCTCCTCCCTGAAGAAAACCATTGTTAACTTGTTTGTTTTCTTGTGCTTAAAGACTGTGGTCACTAAAAAGGTTTCTGCTCTCACTGAAACACACTTTGCTAATTTTCAGGATGCACAAGTCACTGACATTGACTACATGGAAGACAAAAAGGACTTTACTTATGATGAAGTTGCTTTTAAAGGGCTTCCTGAATTTGCTCAGGATTTACATAACCACGGACAAAAATACGTGATTATCTTGGTAAAGATAAATTGTGTCATAAAACATTTTTATTCATATACGTTTGTACTTTAACTTATTGGCTACAGAACCTTATTTCTTTATCAGGACCCTGCAATATCTATAAATAAGCGTGCCAATGGAGCAGACTATGAGACATACTTGAGGGGAAATGAACAAAATGTTTGGGTGAATGAGCCAGATGGAACCACACCACTCATTGGAGAGGTAAGTTCTCACATCCAGTAAATTCACGTGGCTCTTATTTCCTATTTGGCAAACTCTTTGTAAATGGTGTGTGTGTGTGTGTGTGTGTGTGTGTGTGTGTGTGTGTGTGTGTGTGTTGATGTGGTTTCCTCTTTGAGTTTGAATTGTGATTTTTGTAAGGAAACTTTAGTCAGATGAAGCACCCCATAACAGATCATTTTAAGTCAATAATACAATAAATAGGATATACTGTTTAAATTCTTACAAAAATTCTGCAATGTTTGCATAGAAATTTTAATACAAAATATTTATAAATACAAACTGAATAATTATATACTAGGCACTTCGTTTTATGACTTATATTTGAAACTCAAAATAATTTTTAGTTACTGAAATTGTTGCAAGAAAGAAAACTGAAACTTATAAAATTGAATTAAAATTTCAAAGATTACAGAGACTATTATGAACAGAAATTAAATGGTGCTTAAATTTTGCCTATGTATGTATTTACAAATGTAACTCTCCAACTTGTAAATAAAAATTATGTTGGGCTAAACATTATTTATTATTAGCCCTATAATTATTATGGTGGTATTATATCATCCACTATCACAATTAATAAGACACAGACACGTGTTAGATTTTATAATTGCCTTATTTTCCTTGGGCTGGGCAAATGTTTCCACTTATGCTATTTTAATAACCTTACTATCCACCTCCCAGCTCCCCCATCCAATGCCATCCGCCTTAACCATCCTTATCTGGGCTACCTTCCATCCATAATCTTATCAATATTTGCTTGTATTCTTCATCTGTGCTTTTCCTCGACATTGCTGGTGTCCTTCCCCCTGCTTTCATTGTCCCTTCCCCATGCTAACCCACTATGGCTTCTGCCTTTCTCCTCTCTTCCTGTCTGTCTGTCCTTTCCTGTGATTCTTCAGTCCCCAAAGCCTGGGAACAATAGCCATGACTACCCCATTCTGCCCTGCCCTGCCCAGGTTTTAGGCCTTTTAATCAACTAATCAAGAATAATGTCTTGAGCAGGTTTACACAGTAAAGAAAGGTGTATCCAAGTCTTGAGAGTTAGTGTAAAAAAAGAAAAAAAAAGGAACCAGAACAGCCCCCAACATGTCCATCAGTCATTCTATATGCATATGAGTGCAGGCATTTTGCACCATGGTATGTATGTAAGGGTCAGAGAATAACTTTGGGTGTCAATCCTTGCCTTCCTCCCTGTTTGACACATGGTCCCTTGTTTGCTGCTATGTTTGTCAGGCTAGCTGTTCCAGGAGCTTCCCAGGATCACCCATTGCCTCTCAGCTCACCTTACGAGTGCTGGGATTTCAGAATATGCTCCTCTTCTGAGAATCTGAATGCAAATCTTATGTGGCAAAGATTTTTCTAATGCAGTCATTTGCCCAGACCTTGATGTGTGTGTTTGGATAGAATAAGTAGTATTAGAAGCATAATCATAAGTCGTGTCAAAAGCAAATAATGACTAGACACATAGAGTTGTTAATTCACTGCAATGACTAATGAAACTAAATAAAAAAATTAGAGGAAATAACAATCTTAAATGTGCATTCATTGAAGAATTATTTAAAACAATGAGAAATATCCTATCTTTCCTTACTGCAGTTTATGAACAAAATTTTCAGGGCAATGTTTCTTCCCACGATTATGAGTTCCACCAGACCCACAAACGTCCCTGCCTTTATCGCCCATTTGTCACTGTGACCCTGGGCAGATCAGAAAACAATTGTGTCTATATTGTTTTAAAACTATATAAAGGATTCCTAATTAAACTTACATAACGGTGTAATTGGAGGAATATATAGCGAAACGTAGCTTGGAAATGCCTAAATAAAAAGGGCGACAGACTAGAGCTTATCTTTGATATCATAGGGTCAGGCCTTTGAGGCTTTGAATTTAAACTCCCGCTGAGCGGCTGTGCGGAGTATGGGCTTACACATCCCAGGGAACCCCTCTGTGCTTCACTTGTCTCATCTTCAAGATGGACTTAATTAACTAACCTAACCTGGAAGATGATGGCAAAAGATATCTGTCTCCAAATCTCTAGGGAATGCTATGTAAACACTATAAAAATGTTTAGAATGCTTAGACGGAAGCCTAGCCTATGCTTCCATACTAATGAAATTTTCTCCCCATCAAGTTTTGGGAAGTAGATGTGATTGCAAATGTAGTGATAAGCCTTTAAGTAATGAAATGTGATATCTTACAGTACTTTCGTTTATTGATCTAATTTACAAGAATACTCAGAAATGCATTTATTTTACTTCCTATGGCAACTTTATCCCTTGTTTTAATTTTTTTTCCATTTCTAAATGCTCAATGATTCTTCTTCATATTTACTTGAACTATTTTCCCCGAATGGAGTTTATTAACATAAATTTGAGGTAATTTTGAATGTAGGATGCACGAGGCATTCATGTCGACTGAAGCAGAGTATGCAACATTTAAGAGTGTTAATATTATGAACTGCATGTGTTTGCAATGCCACGTATTTTAACATTCTCCCTGTATTCATTTGTATACGTGAATGATCTATTCATCTAGGTATGGCCAGGGTTAACAGTGTACCCGGATTTCACTAACCCCAGAACCATGGACTGGTGGGCAAATGAATGCAGTATTTTCCATCAGCTAGTGGAGTATGATGGACTTTGGATTGTAAGTAGCTTTTGTGAACAAGTGGTTCCATGTACATAATATGTAAATAATATGTCAGTAAACACACCCTTTCAGTAGAATGTATTCTAAATGAAATTTAAAGATTCCCTGTCACTTACTGAAACATGTAAACATCATACACGTGGAAGAAAGGAAGAAAGAATAAAAACTGTAAATTTAGAATATTTTCTCCCTGGTCGTGGACTTTGTAGAATAAATTTCAGTTAAATACAAAGAGTTATATCTTTATCTGTGAAACCATTCATGTGGGAACCGGCCTAAAGTAGCACAGGACAAAAGCACTTAGGGAAATCTGCACTGGACAACGGCAGCACTGTGAAATGCTGTTGGCGCCACCGGAGGCTCCCTTCCAGACTGCTGTTGGACTACAGCAAGCTAAAATTGGCAACGGCCTGCATTTTATACCAAAATATATCAAATTATTTATGAAGTCACTACAGAAAAACGTAGTTTTGGGAAACTTCTTGGGATGATTTTTCTTATTTTCATGATTTTAATTAATCACAATTTGCCATTTACAGGACATGCACATGAGGTAATAGTCAATGTAAGTTTGAGTTTATGGTGACCATAGCCCAAGTGGAGGGAAAAAAGATTCTAAACCCCAAGTTTAGAATAAACTTCTCATAAATCTGAGTACAAGAAAAACAGAGGTTTTAGGAAAGGCGTAACATCTCTATAGATTAATGGATACTGTGTGTTTTCTAAGGTTGTTTGGCTCTGTTACTCTCTTAATGAACTCACTGTATATAGAGTTATTTATACATTAATTCATTTAATCAGGAAGAAATGTCTTTAAGACTTATTTACATTATTTACACATCAGTTGTGTTTGAGGAACGATGTGTTTGCAATGACAGAATTCCTGTGCAGACATCAGTGGAACGAGGAGGAGAAGATGCTTACTGTAATTCTAAGAGGTCACACTGTTAATATTTACTTAACAGAAAGAATAATAACATGCTCATGATATAGTTTAGCTTCATTTTTCATACTGGCCTCCAAGTTAGTAATTTTAAGTCAAATTGTTCATAGACTTCTACTTCAGCCAGAAAAATGTGTTCATTAGGAAACAATTATGAGATACTGTGATGAAAAGGCTAGGTTGTGCTGTATGAGCTGATACCTTATTTGCTGAATCATGAACAACCACACTGCAAGCAGAAGCAAGGTGAAATCATATTGAAGAAGAACAGTTTTCCACTCTCTTATTAACACACACACACACATTTTAATTAATCTTCAAAACATGAAGTCAACAACACATGAAGTGTTCACTCAGCATTCAACACATATCAACACATACTGCTTATGAACACTGGGTGTTTTAGTTTCCATTTCTTAAATAATCAAATTGTACTGCTACGTTGTTTTTTTAATGCTTTTTAAAAATTATTTTTCACAATAGAATGAATTTTCAGAGAAAATGTATTTACTATTCAACTTAGGAGGTTTTGTTTTTATGTCAAGTTCAAAAATGTTTTCTATTTTTTAATGTTTTCTTTTTAGATTTATTATTTTTTTTATTTATTACATTATTTATTTGTATCCCAGCTGTTGCCCCCTCTCTTGCCCCTTCCAGTCCCACCCTCCTTCCCTCATCTCCATCCTGCCCCTTTCCAAGTCCACTGATAGGGAGGACCTCCTCCCCTTCCATCTGACCCTAGCCTATCAGGTCTCATCAGGACTGGCTGCATTATCTTCCTCTGTGGCCTGGTAAGGCTGCTTCCCGCTCAGGGGAGGTGATCAAAAAACCAGCCACTGAGACTCATAGCCAAAAATGTTTTCTTAACTTGAAAAATTAGTAATTTTATATTAATGTTTCTACATTTAAATTTGTTCTATTTTTTAATTTTTATTAATTACAGTTTATTCACTTTATATCCCCCCTGTACCTCCCTCTTCCCTTTCCAGTCACACCCTCCCTCTTCCCCACCCGTGTCCTTCTCCCAGTCCACTGATAAGAGGTTCACCTCCCTTTCCCTCTGATCCAATATATCTTACAAATAATTTTGAGCTGTTTGAATACATTGTTCTTAAGCATAATATATTTTGTATAAAAACTAAATTATTTCACCAATTTTAAATATAGACTATAACTATTTAGATTATTTATTCATTAATTTAACCAGTAGAGTCATGAAAAAAGTTTTATTTACACTTTTGGTTTCTTTAAAAATACATCTAATTAATTTCACTTCTTAGAAACAAACAGAAGTGAAAATAATATTAGAGGAAAATTCTAAAAGATAGGGAAGCTTCAAGTCTTTTTACACTTTTTTCAACCATACTTACTTAGAACATATTTTTGAAGGGTATCAAATACCTTTCATGTACTATGAGGAATCTATTTCAACACTCTGAGTTCTTCATTTAACTTCATGTAATGGGTCTTAAATGTTCTTCAGGTTCATAATTTCAATACCTACATGGGAGTAGCTTGAGGATAATAGATATAACTGTCTTTAATACACTGGGGTAAGGAGAACCGAAAGTGTAGCTAGTGACAAGTCATGCCTGGGTATTACTGTTAAATATTGTGGAAAATAAGAACCAATTATAGTTGTAATTAAGATATTTCACCTTTATGTAGTGGCAAACACCATGTTTATTACTCTTGAAGGGATCCTACCAGTCCCTTAGAACAGCAAATCAGTCCAGAAGTGTTAGTGTATGTTTTTGGCAGTACAAAAGACGACTAAATTGTCAAAACAGGAGTAATTAGTTTAAATAATATGCTAGAGAGCTGGTAAAAAAAAATAACAAAAAATTAAAATAAAGGAGAAAGGTGAAACTATGAAGGTGAAAACATAGTTGGAGCTTATAGGATTAAAACAGAACAAAGACTTCAAGTATGGATTTTCTTTGGAAAACAATGGAATATTTCTAGAAACTGGGAAAAATTCATAAGCACCCCTCAACGTAATTAGCATGCAAGAGATGAATCTATTTTGACTTAATATGTCTTGATTCTCAAAATCTTCTGGAGGGCAGGGAGGATGAGGATGGGTACTTGGAAGCTGATGATGTTTCCAAGTGCTGTACATCAGATCCCTCTGCCAGTTTGGAGACCAGCACCATTGAGGAACACTGGCCCTGACCAGTGTTCCTGGCCAGGATCTGCACTGGGCCCAGCAATCCGTGCCTGGGATGTGGAGGGTTTTTTTTGTGTGTGTGGAGGGGTGGGGGAAGGTTGCTTTGTTTTCTTTTTTAACAGGAATGGAGTGAAAGCCTGGCCTGTAGGACATTCAGGACGGGAGGCCCCTTGGTGACAGGATCTACTTGTCCAGCATTTAAAGGACCCTATTCTGTTTCCATGTGGGAAGCTTCATAAAGGATGGGAACAAACTACATTCCTCAGTATAAGTAGGGAATCTGAAGCATCTAACTCTGGGGTGTCATGCTGATCTGAGCCACCTTCTGTCATCAGCTGCAAGCCTGGAGCTTCTGACTGTAGATTAAGGTGGTCAGGAAAGGCTTCTTATGGAGTCCTTATGTAGGCAGAGCCTCTGCTCCCAGAATCATTTGCCTCAATTCAAGCTCACTACATCTTTCTTTTCCACTTTCAAAATGGAAGTCTGACAATACAATAGTTGTTCCATCCACAAAGACGGATGTCTCAGCAAGTCTTCAGTGTATGTCAGAATCCTGAGAAAAGTAGGCTACTGTACAAGATGAAGCAACAAGCAAGGAAAGCAGGCAAAGAGCAAACATTTCCTTTTCCCTGTTCTTTATACAAGCTGCCACCAGAAGATGTGGCCCAGATCTAAGGTGGATCTTAATTAAATGAGTTCAAATAGTTTAATTAAGAATAACCCCTGTGAGATGTATTGAGTTGCTTGAGTTTTAGTTAATTGCAGTTGTAATCCAACTGACAACCAAAAATACTCATCGCATCTACCTTAAAATAATTCCTCAACACTTTTTCAAAAATAAACTTATTTAACAAGATCTTAGAATAAAATCAAACTAACTTAAGGTTCCTTGAAAAAAAATCAGGATTTTTATGATGCTTCTAATAGTCCATACATACAAATGACAGTTTAGAAGCTGTAGACTAAGTGAATATTGGTACCAGCAATGGGATGAGATCACTATCAAAGTAGATAACTGACTGCCATCATCAAATATGTGTAATGAATAAATATGCTGGAAATGGGTATAAGCAAATTACAGTTAAAAGACTGACACAACTATATGAAAGATATTTGTGGAAATCATAGATGTACTTTGTTTAGATTTGTAATTCTGTAAAATTAGAGGTATTTGAAACATTTAAAATTCTTCACTGCAGTCTAAAGTACCTATTTTAATGTATGCACCCTATATATAATATCCATATTGTATATGTATATAATATACATGTAATAATATATACATATTATGTATGTTATATATATATAATCCATGAATAAAACATTTTCAAGGATGTCTTATTATTAAGTAGCATGGGAAATCTGTTATTCATCATTTATAATTGCTGGTAATTTTCCTTGTCTATATATTTAGGACATGAATGAAGTTTCCAGCTTTATTCAAGGTTCCCTGAAAGGATGTGCTGCCAATCAACTGAATTATCCTCCTTTTACTCCTGGTAAATTTCAATTTCTTACCTAATTACCCACGGTCGAGTCAAAACTTTTGTTAGCTAATAAATTCTAAAACATATTTCTAAATCACAAATTTTGTTATAACTTTTAATCCTAAATTTAATGATTTTTCTTTTATTTTGCCAAATATAATACATTTATGATTACTCTGATGTACCACTTAGATATGTATGTGTTGTATGCATGTATACATATGTTATTGCTCACATGTGAGATGATGAGGGTCTTCTTTCTTGCTCTTTACCTTATTTGTGTGCGTATGTGTGTGTGTGTGTGCGTGTTGTTTGTTCATGTATATGATTGCATGTGTGTACATGAATTCAGGTGTAAAATAAGATGCCAATTTCTTCCTTTATCATTCTCCAAATTATTTTCTAAAATTATTTATTTATTATGACTATATGAGTATATGCTACATGTCCATGGGCCCATATACCTGTGCCAATACACAGAGCCCAGAAGAAAGATTTTGCTTTATTCTATCACTCTCTGTTTGTTCTATTGGGGTAGGTATTCTCCCTGAAATTGGGGCTCATGTTTTCTCAGCAAACCCTAGTGACACTTTTTTCGATGCACTGAGTTATAAACCTGCAGTGTACATCCATCGGACTGTATGGCCTCTGGAACCTAAATTTGGTACTTGAATTTGCACAGAAAGCATTATTAGTTATTGAATCAACCTTCCCCAAAAATTATTTTCTGAGACAGGATTTCTTCACTAAAGCTAGAAATTGCTGATTGACTATATGAGAGAAAGAAACAGAAAGACATAGAGATAGACAGACAGATACACACACACACAGAGTGGCATACAGAGAGTTTTGGTGATTCCTCTGTCTCTACCTTTCAGTGTTTACAGGGCAGGTGGTCACTGCTAGGAATGGTTTGCCTGTGTTGATGAGAATCTGACCTCAGTTCCTCAGGCTTTTGTGCTGAGCATGGTCCTTACTGCGCCATCTCTGAAGTTCCTAACCATGATCACATTTAAATCAACCAGTGTACTAATAAATGATAACTACTCCAAGATATCAATGTGTAAAGGCAATTTACTCATCAACGACTATTTCCCATTTATTTATTTATTTTTAAAATGATGAAGTATTGTTTAGTCAAATTAAATCACATTAAATGTAATGTAATCAATGTGTAATGCATTTATATTTATTGTATCTAAAATCATTTTACAGTCTCCATGGAATGAATTGCATGAATTAAACTGGATAGTGTTTAACTAAATGTGATCTTTTGTCAGTTTTTTTTTTTTTTAATTAGGTACTCTAGAACACATTGTAAGAACAGTCACAAATGTTACCATAAAATATCTCACAGGAATGTTTGCTATGTGGCTTTCTCTAAGGTATTCTTGACAGACTTTTGTATTCCAAAACTCTTTGCATGGACGCTGTGCAGCACTGGGGAAAACAGTATGATGTCCACAGTCTGTATGGATACAGCATGGCTATCGCCACAGAAAAGTAAGTAAAATTGCATGCAGAAACTCAATCAGCCATTACATTTTGTTTAGATGTATTTCTGGAAGTTTAGCAACTTCGATGGAAAGTTGCAGGAGTAAGAAAGAAAAAAAAAAGTATTTTTTGTGGTAAAAGCACCATGGTATCGAAATATGGTTCTATTTTACTAGCATTCATAAGTTAACTGTCAATACTAATTATTAAATATCAGTATTAATAAGTTATCAAGAATTATATTAAATGTGTATTTACCATTGGTTTGCTTAATTAATAGAGGTTATTCTTTATAAAAAATTTCTGTTTGCTTTCTATGGAAAACAACAATATAGTTTTTTTTTTAATCAGTCATTAAAACTTTCAATTGGCTTAAGAAAATGGTGATACAGCAAGTTCTCTTTATCTTCCCAAAACAAGTGTTTCAACTAAAATTTAGTTTCTAAAAAAAAAATTAGTTTCTAAGTAGTAGAGCATAATAGAACAAATAAAATGCACAATGTAGGAACAGGTACCCAGCACACATTGATTCTCTGTTACTTTGCTAGTGTTCTGAAAGGTTCAACAGAGCAGTAACTGCTAACACCCAGATCTTGGTATCAGTATATCTGTAACTTTCTCTTTAAGTAAGTGTTGAAGTACTAATGCACCAAAAAGACTGTATATTGTCTTTATAGTGTTGTTACTTCTCTTTGTGCACACCAAGTGTAATAATCACAATCAAAGAAAAATAGGCGATAAATATTTGAAAGTGAAGGACAAAGAATGAGACAGGTTGGAGGAAGAAAGAGAGAGGGGAAAATACTATATTTCTATTTTAATTAATAACATTTAAAATAAAATAAATAGAACCCAATTAATGACATTTAAAATAAATATATAGAACCTGAATGGAGTGTAGAACATTACCTTTAGTTTATTTGTTTGTTTGGGGTTTTTCTTTGTTTGTTTCATTTTGTTTGAGACAGGGTATTTCTTTGTAGCCTTGGCTGTTCTGGAATGCTCTTTGTAGAAAGAAAGGACCTCTTTGTAGAGGTCGGTGAGTCTGACCTCAGACTCACGGAGATCCTTCTGTTTCTGCCTTCTGAGTGCTGGGATTAAAGGTGTGAACTTTTATTCAATATTCATACTTGGCTGAATATTCCATATTTTAAGTAGAAGTAGGTAGATTATTGAATGAAAAAAGAGCAATGTCTTATGATTCAATATAAACAGCTTATATATGGAAAATATATGTAGGATGCCATATTTTTACATTGGATGCCTGGCTGACATCATATTTTGAAGTTCATTTAGGCTGATTTTTTTTTTTCTGACCACTTCTCTCTGAGAGAAAAATATCGTTAATACACAGGTGCTGGTAGAGGAAAATAATAGTAGACGATTAAAAAATGTTTCTCAAATGTGCTAATTTCTTTTTTATAATTATTTTTATTAATTACAATTTATCCACTTTGTATCCCCCCTGTACCTCCCTCCCTCCTCCCCTCCCAATTCCACCCTCTCTCTTTGCCAACCGTGTCCCTCTCCCAGTCCACTGAAAAGGACTCCCTCCCCTTCCCTCTGATCCTAGAAATATGTTAATTTCAAGTATGCATGTTTTGTTTTCAATTTGGCAATAAATTGGTGAAATTATTCAAACTATTAGTCATTTTCAAAGACATTCTCCTTCTGTGTTTAATCAGAGTGTACTCAAGTGAGCTGCATTTTGGTAGCTAAATGTGCAACTGATGTTAAAATTTTACAAATTTTCTAAATATTGCCTTCCAACAGAGAAAAGATAAAATATACATTTGTAACTAGTATTTTAAAATTAATGTATCAATTTTATTTTTTGGATCAGAACTTAGTTTTTAATTTGGTCATATTTTAGAGCTGTGGAAAAAGTTTTTCCAAATAAGAGAAGCTTCATCCTCACGCGGTCTACATTCGCTGGCTCTGGAAGGCACGCCGCTCATTGGCTTGGAGACAACACAGCCTCTTGGGAGCACATGGAATGGTCCATCACTGGAATGCTGGAGTTTGGTCTATTTGGCATGCCTTTGGTATAAAGCTTTTCTAGTAGTGAAAAGACAGGGACAAAGCAATGTTTAAAATTTTTAAGGTATAAAAAATTTAGTAAGTTCTAAATATGGAATATGAAAAGGCTGATAATAATTTCAATAATTAGCATAAAATCCATAGTCAAGATTATAGAAAGTCATTTTAAAATATTTGAAGTGTATTTATAATTATCTCACATTTCCTTTCATACACATGAATAAAGTGAACACCCAAAACCCAATGAAACGAAATAACATGCACAGACAATGTTGATTTTGGAAAGTAAGAATATACATTATATATATATATATATATATATGTAAACTCTTCATATGTATGTATGTGTATATGTGTGTGTGTGTGTGTGTAAATACAGACAAAACTAGGCTGAATTTTAGAAAAAGAAGAAAAATCAATTTTTTCTAACATTCAATGACTGAATGTTAGTAAGCTGATTTTTCTTAATCAAACTTTGTATGGTTTCAACCATATGGAAAATTTACAGCCAGAGATACTAAATCAAAGCCCAGTCAGGTGACCAGTGTGGGGAGGTGTGCAATCTCAGGATTAGGGAAGCTATAGTCATGGTGAGACTAGGTTTCTGAGTATCAAGTACCAGGACAAACTGCACTACATAGCAAGACTTTCTCATGAAAAGAAAAATAAACAACATGCGATGAAATAAAATAAATATAGACAAAGGAAAACAAAAGTCAAAGATACAAATTGTGCAAACGTTGGAACATTAATTCAAATACAGAAAAATAAAAGTAATTAACCTAAAATTTATAGTAATAAAATAAATGTCATTGAAACAAATTGAAATATAGTCAAATATACAAAGTTATTATTTGAAAATTTGAACAAACACATTAAGTTAAAACATGTACTAACATAAAATAGGATTTCAAAGCAATTTCCTTAAACAAACACTGACAGTAAGGATATAAGACTTTTATTTTTATCCTCTTTATTAACCAATTTTATATGTGTCACTATATTTTGCTCTTATTTATCCTCCCACACTCTCATTCATCTTTCTTGACCCCAAACTTTTTTAAAATTTGAAAATATCATATCTATCTATACTGTTTTTTTTTTTTTTTTATTAAATCTACTCTCCATTCCCTTCTTTCTACTTCCTCCTCTGTCACCACAACTTTCCCTGCCCAATGTCTTGTGCTAATTTTAAAACATACTGAGTCCACATAGTGCAGTCAGTATGTACCTTGGTTTAAGGCAATCTACAGAATGATGGAGAGCCTCTCAGTGGTCACATCCCTGAAGAAAACCAGCTCTACCTCAAGAGCAATGCACTGTCACTAGTTCCCCAGATAGGGGTGGGACATTGCTGGCCACTCCCAATCAGTGTGGGGTTCGGATTCCTAAAGCAAATCTTGTGGGTCACCTTCTTCACCTGAACAGTCACATGTATTCCAATACCCGTCTTTTTTTTCTTTGCCTTCTTTGCTTTCTATCTTTAAGATTTGTAAAGGTCAGAAACTGTAAAAGATTACTAAATGAACTGAATTAAATTATACCACGTTTGCAAATAAGAACTGATACAGTAGAAACAAGAATTTTTCTCAAATTGAAATTAAATTCACCGAAGAGGATTTCTCCCTACCAGATAAAGAAATAGTAATTAACACATTGAATGCAGTCTATGGTTTTTCAATTAGGCTTACTATTATTAAAAAAAAGACACAGCCTCATGTATTTACATATACCTTCTAAGTAATCCATTTCACTGCAGATATCTAAAGAAAGTATGAAATATTCATATGGATTATTAATTTCACATCTAGCGAACAAAATAACACATTGCTATTTCTTACATATTCTTTAAAAAATTAGTACCAGGTATATAAAAGGCATGTGATTTGAATAAAGTTCAACCATTTTCAAAGAAAACATAAGAGATTAATTTAAGACATGTCAGAAAAATAGTGTCTCAAACAAAATAGAATGGACACTGTTTACACAGGAATGGTAGATAAATTGGACTAAAATGAAATCAAATGTTTTGCTAATCAAAACTATCTTTAAGATTAAAAGTAGAAAGCAGCCAACATACAGGGAAATTACAGTTTCAATTTACATAATCTTAATTGATTAGCATTGAATCTATAATACCTCGTATAAATCTATAGAAAACAAGAATAAAGAACTTTGAAAAATGTGTCTGACAAGCAATACTAAGAGAGAAACCTGCATATATTCAAACACTTCAAAAGATCTCAGCTTAAACAGAAACCAGAGAAATTAAATTAAAATAAAATAAAGCTAAACATTGGTGAGATGCATTTCATGCAAACCTATCATAAAATGAAGCCTGACTATGGAAAATAATTCTGAAAAAGAGCAATGAGAATGTTCTGGGTGGGGAAAGTAAAGAAAGGAAGGAGATTGGGAGCAGAGAATAAAGATGATGTGGATAGATGTAAAAAAAAGCTCACACGTGGAGAGAAAATCAGTTTATAGGATGTGTATAAAGGCAATAAAATGAGTAGGCCCTGAACAACGCTAACTCTTCTTTGCATGGCATGGCATGCCCAGGGAAAGCACAGTGGTGACCCTTATCCTGTTGTCTAGGTAGGGGCAGACATCTGCGGATTTGCAGCTGATACCACAGAAGAACTCTGCAGAAGATGGATGCAACTCGGAGCCTTTTATCCGTTTTCTAGAAACCACAATGCTGAAGGCTATGCGGTAAGTGACACTTGGTCCTCACTACTTGAAACCAACACAACTGTATTTATGTTATCTTTATTTTTCATTAATTTATTAATTAATTAACTTTAATCTGGACCGGAACTTCCCATCTCTCTCTTCACCCATTCCCTTTCTCTCCCCTCCTCTCCCCCTATGCCTCCTCCCTTTCTTCTCAGAGAACGGGAGACCTTCTATGGACATCAGCCTGTCTTGGTATATCAAGTAGGACTGGGTGCATCTTCTATTGTGGCTAGACAAGGCTGTCCAATTACAGGAAAGGGATCCAAATGCAGGCAACCGAGTCAGAGACCACCTCTGCTCCTGCTGCTAGAGGTCCCAAGTGAAGACCAAGCTGTACATTTGTTACATAAGTGAGAGGGGGGGGAGGGGGCATAGGTCCCTCCCACAGACACACTGGTTGGTGATTCAGGTTCTGTGAGCCCCTATGGCCCCAGGTTAGTTAACTTTGTGTCGTCCTTGGTCTCTCTGGCTCTTTCAAGCCTTCTGTTTCCTCTTCCATACGATTTCCCGAGCTCCACCTAATGTTTGGCCGTGGGTCTCTCTGAATCTCTTTCCATATGCTGCTGGGTGAAGCCACTCAGAGGTTGGTTTTGCTGTTCTCCTGTCTACAAGAGTAGCGGAATAACAGTGTCAGGGGTGGGATCTCTCTTATATCATGGGACTCAAGTTGGGCCAGCCCTTTATTGGCTGGGTCTAATATTTTGTGGGAAGCACAGCTGTATTTTTAAACAATGTTCTTCCGTTTATATAAAGAAGGTAACACAAAAAGTATGTAACTTTTTATACATAAATGTTTGAAATTCACCTCTCAATGCAATGTATTTTATGTGTATTGTGGACAAATTTGGAAATCACTAAGCAAAATGCATGTGTATCATATTTTTGTCTTGGATTCTTACTGAAACATTTCAGTTTGCCTTATAACAAAATACAACAGTTAAGTTGTATTTAAGTCAGTTAAGGACAAGCTGATCAAGGCAGTTTTCAGTGTTCACATGTTGCACTCAATCAAAACCTTAGTTTCATGGAGATGTGTCAGCTGCAGTTCACACTGTAAAAGGGAACATCGGAGAGCAGAGCCAAAAGGAGCACAAGGGCAATTCTGAAGAATCCATATCCACAGGAGAGTTTTATCCAAGTATTCTGCAGTCATTTGGGTTTTCTAGAAAGTAAATTGCAAGCCAGGAAGAATACAGTAACGATTAATTGGTAAAATGTGAGTGAATAATAACCATGACCGTGAGCCAATGGAGTGTTGAGACTTGTCAATCCTCTGATCAGGTCTGAACCTCCTGAAGCTCACAGAAGGATGGTGACCTGGCTGGGATAATCATCCTGCTGCTGAGATTTAACAGAACCTGCCAAGTCATTGAGAAAGATGTTGAAGTGAAGAGGATCACTGAAAGAGTCTTGAATGTAGAGAAGAGTCAGCCATATCAGCCGCACTCTATATTCTGTGGCTGGGATTAGAAAATAGAAAGCATTATTTCACTGTAAATTTAGCAAACTATGTAAACAAAACTTTCTCCTTGCAATGTTCCTTGGCACTGGGAGGAAGTTGTCTCCTAGGGAGAGAATCTTTTGGTTTCAGGAGGAGTGTTGAATGAACTTCAAAGCTTAAGTTTGCTTAACTGACCAGGAAACCTTGTCCCTTGTGCTTCTGAACAGTGGATTATTTTGGTCCTTTCTAAGGTCAATGGTTATGTGTAGGAGAAATCCTTCAGCACATTTCAGGCCTGTGCTTGAATGTGTTACATGAATGCTATCGGTCAAAGTATGCTGTGTAGTTAAGCAAAATTCAAATGTACATATTATTATTTTTTATTAAATCTTTTATTTTTTTATTAATTACACTTTATTCATTTTGTATCACCCCATGAGCCCCTCCCTCCTCCCCTGCCGATCCCACCCTCCCTCCCCTTTCTGCATGCATGCCACTCCCCAAGTCCACTGATAGGGGAGGTCCTCCTCTCCTTCTTTCTGATCTTAGTCTATCAGTTCTCATCAAAAGTGGCTGCATTGTCCTCTACTGTGGCCTGGTAAGGCTGCTCCCCCCTCAGGGGGAAGTGATCAACGAGCAGGCCAATCAGATTATGTCAGAGGCAGTCCCTCTTCCCATTACTATGGAACCCACTTGGACACTGAACTGCCATGGGCTACACCTGTGCAGGGGTTCCAGGTCATCTCCACAAATAGTCCTTGGTTGGAGTAGGAGTCTCTGGGAAGTTCCCTGTGTTCAAATTATCTTGTTCTGTTACTCTGCTTGTGGAGTTCCCGTTCCCTCCAGCTCTTACTATTTCCCACTTCTTACATAAAATTCCATTCACTCTGCCCATCAGTTGGCCATCAGGCTCAGCATCTGCTTTGACAGTCTATACTGCAGAAGCTTTCAGAGGCCCTCTGTGGCAGGTTTCAAGGTTGTTTCCTGTTTTCTTCTGGCTTTCAGAGGCCCTCTGTAGCGGGTTCCGAGGTTGTTTCCTATTTTCGTTTTCTTCTGATGTCCATCCTCTTTGCCTTTCAGGATGGGGATTGAACATTTTAGTTAGGGTCCTCTCTTTTGCTTAGTTTGTTTAGATGTACAGCTTTTAGTGGGTTTATTCTATATTGTATGTTTATATGAGTGAGTATATACCGTGAGTGTCTTTTTGCTTCTGGGTCAACTCACTCAGGATGATCCTTTCCAGGTCCCACCATTTACCTGCAAATTTCATGATTTCCTTATTTTTCATTGCTGAGTAATACTCCATTGTATAGATGTACCACAGTTTCTGCATCCATTCTTCAGTTGAGGGGCATCTGGGTTGTTTCCAGCTTCTGGCTATTAAAAATAAAGCTGCTACAAACATGGTTGAACAAATGTCCTTGTTGTGTACTTGAGCCTCTTTTGGGTATATGCCTAGGAGTGGTATGGCTGGATCTTGAGGAAGCGCTATTCCTAGTTGTCTGAGAAAGCGCCAGATTGATTTCCAGAGTGGTTGTACCAGGTTACATTCCCACCAGCAGTGGAGAAGAGTTCCCCTTTCTCCACAACCTCTCCAGCATGTGTTGTCCCTTGAGATTTTCATCTTGGCCATTCTGATGGGTGTAAGGTGATATCTCAGGGTTGTTTTGATTTGCATTTCCCTAATGGCTAATGAGGTTGAGCATTTCTTTAAGTGCTTCTCTGCCATTCGATATTCCTCTGCAGAGAATTCTCTCTTTAGCTCTGTTCCCCATTTTTTAAGTGGATTACTTGGTTTGTTGCTTTTCAGCTTGTTTAGTTCTTTATATATATTGGATATGAGTCCTCTGTCAGATAGAGGGTTGGTGATGATTCTTTCCCAATCTGTAGGCAGTCGCTTTGTTTTGATGACGGTGTCCTTTGCTTTACAGAAGCTTTTCAATTTCATGAGGTCCCATTTATTGATTGTTGCTCTTAGAGCCTGTGCTGTTGGTGTTCTGTTCAGGAAGTTTTCTCCTGTACCAATGAGTTCTAGGGTATTCCCCACTTTTTTTTCTAGCCGATTTAATGTGTCTGGTTTTATGTTGAGGTCTTTGATCCACTTGGACTTCAGTTTTGTGCAGGGTGATAAGTACGGATCTATTTGCATTTTTCTACATGTAGACATCCAGTTGGACCAGCACCATTTGTTAAAGATGCTATCTTTTTTCCATTGTATGGTTTTGGCATCTTTGTCAAAAATCAGGTGTCCGTAAGTGTGTGGGTTTATTTCTGGGTCTTCTGTTCGATTCCATTGATCCACCATTCTGTTTCTATGCCAGTACCATGCAGTTTTTATAACTGTTGCTCTATAGTACAGCTTGAGATCAGGGATGGAGATACCTCCAGAAGATCTTTTATTGTAGAGGATTGTTTTAGCAATTCTCGGTTTCTTGTTATTCCATACGAAGTTGAGAATTTTTCTTTCCAGGTCTGTAAAGAATTGTGTTGGCAATTTGATGGGAATTGCATTAAATCTGTAGATTGCTTTTGGTAAGATGGCCATTTTTACTATGTTAATCCTGCCAAGCCATGAGCATGGGAGATCTTTCCATCTTCTCATATCTTCCTCTAATTCTTTCTTCAGAGACTTGAAATTTTTTTCATACAAGTCTTTGACTTGCTTGGTTAGGGTTACGCCAAGGTACTTTATGTCATTTGTGGCTATTGTGAATGGTGTTGTTTCTCTAATTTCTTTCTCAGCCCTTTTGTCTTTTGTATACAGGAGTGCTACTGATTTTTTTGAGTTAATTTTGTATCCGGCCACTTTGCTGAAGGTGTTTATCAACTCCAGGAGTTCCCTGGTAGAGTTTTTGGGGTCACTCATATATACTATCATATCATCTGCAAATAGTGATAATTTGACTTCTTCTTTTCCCATCTGTATCCCCTTGATCTCCTTCGACTGTCTTATTGCTCTAGCAAGGACTTCCAGCACTATGTTGAAGAGATATGGAGACAGTGGGCAGCCTTGTCTTGTCCCTGATTTCAGAGGGATTGCTTTAAGTTTCTCTCCGTTCAGTTTGATGTTGGCTATAGGCTTGCTGTATATCGCCTTTACTATGTTTAGATATGTGCCTTGTATCCCTGATCTCTCCAGTACTTTAAACATGAATGGATGTTGGATTTTGTCAGATGCTTTTTCAGCATCTATGGAGATTATCATGCGGTTTTTTTCTTTCAGTTTGTTAATATGGTGGATCACATTGATGGATTTCCATATATTGAACCACCCCTGCATACCTGGGATGAAGCCTACTTGGTCATAGTGGATAATATCTTTGATGTGTTCTTATATTCGGTTTGCGAGTATTTTGTTAAGTATTTTTGCATCAATGTTCATAAGGGAGATTGGCCTAAAATTCTCTTTCTTTGTTGAGTCTTTGTGAGGTTTAGGTACCAAGGTGATTGTGGCTTCATAGAATGAATTTGGTAATGTTCCTTCTGTTTCTATTTTGTGGAATAGTTTGAAGAGAATTGGAGTTAGCTCTTCTTTGAAGGTCTGGTAGAATTCTGCGCTGAAGCCATCTGGTCCTGGGCTTTTTTTGGATGGGAGACTTTTGATGACTGCTTCTATTTCTTTGGGGGATATAGGACTATTTAGTTGATTTACCTGGTCCTGATTCAGCTTTGGTGAGTCAAATCGATCAAGAAAATTGTCCATTTCATTTAGATTTTCAAATTTTGTGGCATATAGACTTTTGAAGTAAGTCCTAATGATTGTTTGGATTTCCTCAGTGTCTGTAGTTATGTCCCCCCTTTCATTTCTGATTTTGTTGATTTGGGTGGTGTCTCTCTGCCTTTTAGTTAGCTTGGCTAAGGGTTTGTCTATCTTGTTGATTTTCTCAAAGAACCAGCTCTTGGTTTCATTGATTCTTTGAATTGTTTTATTTGTTTCTAATTGATTGATTTCAGCCCTGAGTTTGATTATTTCCAGCCGTCTACTCCTTTTTGGTGTGTCTGCTTCTTCTTTTTCTAGGGTTTTTAAGTGGGCCATTAAGTTGCTTGAATGAGCTGTCTCGAATTTCTTCTTGAAGGCACTTAGTGCTATGAACTTTCCTCTTAGCACTGCTTTCATTGTGTCCCACAAGTTAGGGTATGTTGTGTCTTCATTTTCATTGAGTTCTAGAAAGGCTTTAATTTCTTTCTTTATTTCTTCCCTGACCCAGCTGGGAACAAGTAACAAGTTGTTCAGTTTCCATGAGTGTGTAGGCTTTTTGCTATTTCTGTTGTTGTTGAAGTCCAGCTTTATTCCATGGTGATCAGACAGGATACAAGGGATTATTTCAGTCTTCTTGTATCTGTTGAGGCTTGCTTTGTGACCAACTATATGGTCTATTTTGGAGAAGGTTCCATGAGGTGCTGAGAAGAAGGTAAATTCTTTTGTGTTTGGGTGTAAAGTTCTGTAAATGTCTGTGAGGTCCATTTGATTCATGACCTCTGTCAGAGATATTGTTTCTTTGTTTAATTTCTGTTTTGTTGACCTGTCCTTTGTTGAGAGTGGGGTGTTGAAGTCTCCCACTATTAATGTGTGGGGATCTATATGTGGTTTAAATTTTATCAATGTTTCTTTTACAAATGTGGGTGCTCTTGTATTTGGGGCATAGATGTTCAGGATTGTGATGTCTTCCTGGTGGAATTTTCCCTTGATGAGTATGAAGTGTCCTTCCTCATCTCTTTTTATTAATTTTGGTTGAAAGTCTATTTTATCAGATATTAGAATGGCTACTCCTGCTTGTTTCTTGGGTCCATTTGCTTGGAAAGTCATCTTCCAACCTTTTACCCTCAGGTAATGTCTATCTTTGTGTCTTAGGTGTGTTTCTTGTATGCAACAGATTGCTGGGTTTTGTTTACATATCCATTCTGTTAATCTGTGTCTTTTTACTGGAGAGTTGAGTCCATTGATGTTGAGAGAGATTAATGACCAGTGGCTGTTAGATCCTTTGATTTTGATGTTGGCTGTGTTCATAAGTTTGTGTGCTTGGTTGCTTTTCGTTTTGCTGTAGTAAGGTTAATTATTTCCTGTGTTTTCTTGAAAGAAGATAATTTTCTTGGGTTGTATTTTCCCTTCCAGTGTCTTCTGTAATGCTGGATTTGTGTGTAGGTATTGTTGAAATTTGTTTTTGTCATTGAATATCTTGTTTTCTCCGTCTATGAGGACTGAGAGTTTTGCAGGGTATAGTAGCCTGGGTTGACATCTGTGTTCTCTTAGGGTCTGCATGATATCTGTCCAGGCCCTTCTGGCTTTCATAGTTTCTGTTGAAAAGTCAGGTGTGATTCTAATGGGTTTGCCATTATATGTTACTTGGCCTTTTTCCCTTGCAGCTTTTAGTATTTTTTCTTTGTTCTGTATACTTCCTGTTTTGATTATTATGTGGCGGGAGGATTTTCTTTTCTGGTCAAATTTGTTGGGTGTTCTGTAGGCCTCATGTATCCTTATTGGCTTATCCTTTAACTTGGGGAAATTTTCTTCAATGATTTTGTTGAAAATATTTTCTGGGCCTTGGAGAAGGGAGTCTTCTTTTTCCTCTATTCCTATTATTCTTAGGTTTTGTCTTTTCATATTGTCTTGGATTTCTTGGACGGTCTGTGTCAGGAATTTTTTGGATTTAACATTGTCTTTGACAGATACATCGATTTCTTCCATTGTATCTTCTACACCTGAGATTCTTTCTTCCATTTCTTGTTCTGTTGGTTATGCTTACCTCTGTAGTTCCTGTTTTCTTCCCTAAATTCTTCCTCTCCATTATTTCCTCCATTTGTGTTTTCTTTAATTTTTCTAGTTCTATCTTCAGGTCTTGAGTTGTTTTGTTTACTTCCTTCACCTGTCTGCTTGTATTTTCCTCTTTTTCTTTTAGTTCCTTCAACTCTGTCTCTTTGATTTCTTTCAGTGATTTAATTATTTCTTCTCTGAAGGCCACAAGCTGTTTGGCTGCATCTTCCCGTATTTCTTCACGGATGGCCCTAATTTGCTTGTCTTTATCTTCCTCCATTTCTTTACGGATAGCCATGATCTGTTTGGTTTTATCTTCCTCTAATTCTTTACGTATTTTATCTGTTTCCTCTATTATTCTCTTCATCAACATAGATGTAAGGTCATCTTCTTGATTTTCTATTATGCTGCATTGTTCAGGGCTGTTCGCCCCTGGATGGCTGGGTTCTGGAGATGCCATATTGCTCTGTCTTTTGTTGGTTGAGCCTTTACGCTGACATCTACCCATTGGGCTGATTTAGGTGTTGGCTGTTAGTTTCTGTGCTTCCTGGAGTCCTGAGGTAGGGAGTATCCCCTTGGCCGGAAGATGATTTTTCCTGAAGGAGTCCTTCTCTGCTTTTTGGTTATGGTCACTGTATGGCCAGTGTTTCTCCGGAGATGCCACTGCTCACCTCAGGTTTATAGCCCTGAGTAGTAGCTGTGGTCTATGTTAGGCAGGGGGGGATCTCCTCTTACCCATAAAATTTCTCAAGACAGCTGCCCCACTGCTGGGTTTCTTGTTATAAATTTAGTGTGCTGCTACTCACTAAATTTCCATGTACAGTCCTCTTGAAGAAACTGCTGAGTCCCTAGATATGGGGTTTTCTCCCAACAGGGAAACTCAGTCTGTTATCCTGGGGTGCACAGTTCTGTCTGAGAAAGTGGGAGGTGCACTCAGTAAGTCTCTGGGCCAAAGGCTGATTGCTCTGCTCTGGACCTGGAGAATGTGCACCTAGGTTGAGTTGGCGCCTGGGAGCACTGTTCTGGTCTGGAGGCTGGGTGCCTCACTCTGGACCAGAAGCTGTGTGTCTCTGTCTGGGATGGTGGCTGTAGGCACCACTCTGGTCCAGACGCTGTGGGTGCAGCCCCCCTGAAGGATCAGGGATTCCCACAGTTTTGGCAGTCCAGCCAGGGACAACTGGCCGATCCCTGGCACAGTATCTGAGGGCTGCTGTAATGGCTCTTCGGCTCCTGCAGGTCCGAGGATGCAGCTGTGTGTCCCAGTGCCCCAGGGGAACGCAACAATGGCAGCAGAGCACAGTGCTCCTGCCTGCACTAGAGTCTGCGTGAGTCCAGGAAGTGTTTTGGTGCTGGGTGTCCTAAGCGTTAGAGCTGCTGACCCCCTCCGCTGGGGGTTTCCTCCTGCCAGAGACACGCAGTCTGGTGCCCTGTTGCCCTGGTGCCCACAGTTCTATCTGAGGCGGCGAATCACGCGCGCAGGCAGGGCTCAGTGCAGGCGCCTTTGTCCCTCCCGGCTCTGGGTCCGGGCTGGCTCCTGGGGCACCCGCGGAACCCGAGTCTTTTCCAGGGGATGTCTGGGTAACCTGGGGTCGGTCCCAATTGTTTCCTGCTCCGTGGGGTTATCTCTGGACTGGGAAATCCAGTCTATGGTGTTGTGGGCCCACAGTTCAGTCTGGGACCGTGACCAGATCGCGCTGGCGGGTAGCTCTGGGCTGGCGACCAAGCGCCTGGCGGAACGGGGATCTCTTCCGTGGTTTAGCCGGGTGAGTTAAAGCTGATCGAATCCCCCACCTTGGGGTATCCTCTCACCTGAGAAACACAACCACTTGTGTTTTATGGCCGCGAGTTCTGCTTGCTGGTCCCTGTGCCAATCCTGCTGTGCTGCTCCTCAGAATGAGAGTCCTCCCGGCGCTGCCATCTTGCCCCGCCTCCTCCAAATGTACATATTATAACTGAAACATATCACAGATTATTTGGCAAAGGTTTTGAGAACATGAAACATTGGAAAGAACCCAAATCAACAGAGTTTGAAAACTTACGTTTGGTTATTTTACATATTTTTAAACTTTTTAACTAAGTGATAAATATATACTTTAAAATAGAGATTAATTAAAATATAACTGAAGATACAAAACCTGACACGCTCAGACATAATGATATCATAGTTGGGATGATTCACAACTTTTCATCGAGGAGCTCAAATTCAAACAATTTGCTTTCAACAGTGATTAAAATGGTTCTTTCTTTAATGTTTACTTACATTTTCTTTCCTCACTTGTATTTTTCATATATCCTACAGGAGCAGGACCCTGCAGTTTTTGGACTAGACTCTCTTTTGGTAAAGACATCCAGGCACTACTTAACCATCCGCTACACTCTACTGCCTTTCCTCTACACTCTGTTCTACAGAGCCCACGTGTTTGGGGAAACGGTTGCGAGGCCATTTCTTCATGAGTGAGTATTGAGAATTCTGAATAAGAACTGTGAGGTAAGGATTTGGAAAGCTGTCTCAGAAATCTCGCTCTGCACACAACATCCCCTAATCTCAAGAAGACTCCCCAAAAGGTAGACATGGCTGCTCGTGAACATAACTGCAGTATTAAAGGGAGCCTAGAAGGGTGGGTTTCAGAACAGCTTTCCTGACTGTCCAAACGGTGAGCTACCGATTCTGTGAGCTATCTTGATCAAAGCAATAAGGCCAAGAAGGAATAGAGGAAGAAAACTTTTAGTGTTCTCTACATGTGAGAATAGCTATGTGTACTTGCTCACTCATATGCATGCACCACACACACACGCATTATATACAAGTACACGCACACATATACATGCACACACAGGCGTGTGTACACACAAACCGCATGAACATATTATGCCACATAAACACACCATACACACATGCAGAAACACACACAGAATCATAACAAAAAGTATGTTCAGACACTTGCTAAATACTAATAATGAATGAATATGCAAAGTAGACCTGAGATTATTATTTTGTAGTTGCACAGAAACTTTTATAATATGTATAATTATTGTACTAAACGTAATAAAACAAGATTAAGGTATAAAATAGAGAATTTGTCAGAAACTACATATAATTATGTTGGGGAGACCCTATTAGTAAGAAATATTAAACCTAAAATTACTGAAAAAGCAACAATGAGGTATTGTAACAATACATCAATAACTGAGGTATACTTACAAAATTGCACAGTGTCTACATGCTTGTATATTATGATCAAACAGAATGTTTCTTAGAAAATGAAAATATTCCTTTTAAACATAGATTTTGGTGAAAATATTGAAAGCAGATTATGAAACAATTCTGGAACTTGCCTTATGAGAAAATAATAAGCAACAAGTTGCTTATTATGCATTAAAAGTTGTTGTTTTTAAATAGAAAAAAGAATTTATACCTGTCATTTCTTCCTCTATGCCTGTCTTCTTTCATGTATGTTATATCAACTACACTAGAACTATTGCTTCAGGATGACTTGTTAAAAATAAATTTAAAATAATGATTCTCAAGGAAGAACTGAAAAGATAAAGAAAATAAGCAGCTTAGCTCTGCTTCTTTTGTAATATTACAACTCAAATGCACTAATTGTTCCAAGGTTTTATGAAGACCCAAACAGCTGGATTGAGGATCTGGAATTTCTATGGGGCCCTGCACTACTTATCACTCCTGTTTTGAAACCGGTAGGCTTTGCATATGTTTTATATTTATTACTTAAGGAAAATTTTGCATAGCCAAATATGTACATAGTTTTGATGAATATGGATAACACTTAATACTCAATGAATTACTTCAAGTTCATAATCTCTCACTGAAATTTAGAAGGCCAAGTAATGTGAGGTTTACACAGTTTTTGATACATTTATATTATTAAATATATAATAAATAACATAGGACATTGTGTAAAATCAGATATATAATGAAATTTATATTAATTGTATTCAATCAAAGCTTATAATAATATTAATTAGCTGACACTTAGGAAGACATAAACATTGAAATTTTTCTAAGATGCGTGTTAAACTGCCATCTAAAAGAGCTTGTAGTGGTATTCCTAGTAAGGGGAACAGGGGCTGTCTCTGACATGAACTCAGTGTCTGCTTCTTTGATCATCTCTGCAACTCAGGTGGAAGGAGAGGAGGACCTTCCCTATCAGAGGTCTTGGAAAGGGACATATGGAGAGAAGGAAGGGGGGGTGGGATTGGTAAGTAGATGAGGGAGGGGACCAGAGCCAAATTGAATAATTTGTAATAAATTATAACAATAATAAAAATATTATGTAAAAGAAGGGACTGGAGAGATGGCTCAGTGGTTAAGAGCACTGTCTGCTCTTTCAGATGTCCTGAGTTCAATTCCCAGCAATGCATGTTTCACAATCATCTACACTGGAGTCTATTTTTTTTTCTGGCTGCGTGTGTACATGCAGTCAGAACATTCATATACCTAAAATAAATAAATAAATCTTAAAAAAAGGAATATGTGGAACAAAGAAACGAGGAGTGAGATAAATGTGTCTCCTGTTTCTAAACTCTAGAGTTTTACAATGTTCGTTTCTACATAAGCAGGCATGTGGTTGTTAACAATACAATTGCAAACAGGAAGTGTAAATGTCATCTAAGCAGTATTCCCTTTGACACAAGTGTGTATTTTACATGAAGACGTAGAGCTCATAATTCAGAACTACTGGAGCAAAAGAACAAAGAAACATTTTTTCTGTTAAAAAATGGAAAATCTAAAATAGTACCTGAAATATCTAAAATGGAGTATCAAATGTAAACTCTAAATAATAAGTTCTTTCTTAAGAATTGTGATTTCTTTGGTTGGGGTATCATTCTCTTCAAAGCTTCTAGAGCTCAGTTTTTATGAGGCCAATGCATAGACCTAAAACCGCGGCTAAGATGTATCCCATAAACTCAGTCTCCAACTTGGGTCCCTAGTAAGAGAAGCAGGACTGTCTCTGGCATGAACTCAGTGGTTAGCTCTTTGATCACCTCCCTCTGGGGGGAGAGGGTGTGCAGCTTTGCCAGACTACAAAGGAAGACAATGCAAAGAGTCCTGATGAGACCTGATAGGCTACGGTCAGATGGAAGGGGAGGAGAACCTGCCTATCAGTGGACTGGGTGAGAGGCATGAGAGGAGATGAGGGAGGGAGGGAGGGTGGGATTGGGAGAAGATGAGGGAGGAGGCACAGCTGGCATAGAAAGTTAATAAATCGTAAAAAAAAAGTGATAATAATAAAAAAGAATAATTCTAAAAAAGCTTTGGGATTTCAAAACTCTGTTTAATATCTTCTGAATATATTCAATATTTTGTATATTTACTCTAATTTTCTTTAATGCAGGGACTGAAAACCGTGAGTGCATACATTCCCGATGCTATCTGGTATGATTATGAAACAGTAAGTAGCCTAGATATTCTTTCTGTGTGTGTCTGTCATCTATCTGTCTATCCATCTGTCTGTCTATCTATCTATCTATCTATCTATATTGCACACAAGTCCATTTCCTCACACATTGTGCATGAATACTTGAGAATGTTGAGATTATTGTCAAAATATTTCCCAATTGCAGACATGTAAAAAAAATTGGTGTGCAATTACTCTTCATTACACACGAACCAGATTTTTAACATGAAATTATGTTTTGGCAAACAAATATACTTTGTTTTTAAATAAAATTATTGAAATATATTAGACAGGAATGGAAACTTATTTAATTCTTTTCTCATAATTTACATTTGTCTTTTCACCAGGAAGGCTTACATGTTTTTAATAAAAAAAATTAAGTTATCCTTTGAACAGAGGGTTTGCGGGGGTGTGGAGGTTCAGTCTTGCCAGTCCACTGAAGAAGATGATTCAGCAAGCCTTGATGAGACCTGATAAGCTAGGATTAGATAGAAGGGGAGGAGTACCTCTCCTATCAGCTGACTAGGGAAAGGGCATGGGGGAGAAGAAGGAGGGTGGGTGGGAATGGGAGGAGACCAGGGAGGGGCCTACAGTGGGGATAGAAAGTTAATAAATTGTAATAGATAGATAGATAGATAGATAGATAGATAGATAGATAGATAGATAGATAGATAAAATTTTAAAAGAATTTCCTAAAAACAAAGAAATTAGCCCTGATAGGCTAGGCTCAGATAGAAGGCGATGAGGTCCTCCCCCATTAGTGGACTAGGGGAAGGGCATAGGGGGAATGATATTCAAGATCAACTAGAACAGCCAAAATAATAACATTCACAAAGTCCTAAACACTATTCCTTGATTCATTTTTAAATTTTTTTTATAAATGAAGTCGCTAAAACTTCTTCAGATTCATATTATTTTTAAAGTGACTCTATTTTTTTCACATATTGATTGTGCAGGACTTTTGTTTGAAAGAATGTTTGAAAAGACTTTCTAAAGGCAAGCAAACTTTGTGTGCACCATTTTCCTGTTAATTACTTCTTTATTATTTTAATTATAATGTTTATGAAGTGACATGATAACTTTCTAAAAGTGTGCAATGTGTACTGAAAAAATAAGTTGATACTTGCACTTCAAGCACTCTTCATGATACTTTGATTGACATATCAAAATATACATATATATGAGTTTGGTGTAATGTTTCCCTGTATGGGTCTATTCCGTACCAGTCGAATTAATATCATTATTGTTTTCACTCCCTTCTTATTGCCCTCTGGTTATTTCTCTACTAATAGTTATTCTTGCTAAAAACTTTTTGTAATTGAAATTTGTCATTCTGACTCTCCATTTTGAACAATAGTTACATTACTCTGGTATAGAAAATAGTACTTATTTATTACTTCTTCCATCAACTGTGTTTTGGTATCTCCTACAGAACCTCCTTTAACCTTCCCTTCTGTAAAATAGGACAGGAGTTCATTTGGTATCTATGGATAGATTTATTTGCTTTATGATTCAATTATGTGACAATGGCAGAATGTTTCAAAATGATATACTCTTATGTTTATGGCTGTACTATTCCCAAAGTAATATATCAAATCAAGCTGCATGTATGCCAGTTGAAGAATGTATAAAGAAAATGTGGTCTACATACAATGCATTGTTATTCACACATTTAAAACAGAAAGGAGGGAGGGTGAGACCGGGAGGGAAAGAGGGAGGAGCTTATGGCGGGATACAAAATGAATAAAGTGTAATTAATAAAAAAATAATAAAAAAAAACAGTGAAAGCTTGTCTTCTGCAGTATACTGGGTAGGACCAGATGACATTCGGCTGAATGACAGGGCCACACTGAAGATGCCATTCTACACACTCTCTGTAAAGATATCATTCTGAATGAAGAAACATGATTACTAGAAGCATGATAAAAGAGAGCATAAAATATGGGAGTAATTGTTAATTATTGTAGGAAGAAAACATTTCAACACATGTCATTTTATATTTTAGAAGAAAATGAACTTTTTTTCCTATGCATAGAAAACAAAACAAAAATTAATTTCTTTCCATAGTAATAAATAAATAATGGATAAGTCAATAAAATGTATAACTCACAATAATTATCAAGAACGCTTTAAAACATGCATTAACAATAAAAATAATATGTATTCTTTAACTCTTAGGGTGAAAAAAGGCCATGGAGGAAAGAAAGGGTTAACATGTACCTTCCAGAAGATAAAATAGGATTACATCTTAGAGGAGGTTATGTCATCCCTACCCAGCAACCTGATGTAACAACAACAGCGAGGTAAAAAGGACCATTATATATTCATATTTGTTCATAATACATTGTGTTGTATGAAGTATTCCTGGTACCTAGACTACTAACTCCATGTGTGTAAGGACTCACATTTTTACAAATTTTTATCCCAACAATAACAGTGCCCTGCATCTATTTTCTAAAAATATTTACTGAAGAAATATTAGTGAGTATATCATTTATGTTAGCAGTTTCATAGATTGGTTTTACAGAACTGCTTACTTGTAAAATTGTTTCATGAATACGTTCACAAAAAAATCAGTTATCATCCAGATCTTCCTGAACAACAGAATCAAACTTTCGTTAATGTGTACTGCAAGTAAAATGCTATGTGCAGAACAGTTGCTAGAACCCTATCTCCTCAGAAGTGTCCTCTTGTGGTGATACAGCATGAAGATGTGTAACTGGCCTCATGAATCATTTCCATGACAGCTGACTTCATTTTTGAAGTCATTTTACATTTCTTCAACAATTAAAAATACCATTGTCTTAGTTATGGTTACTAGTGCTATGGTAAAACACCATGACCAAAAACAAGTTGGAGAGGAAAGGGTTTATTTGTCTTACACAGCGCTTTCCAACAGCCAGATCTAATGGAGACATTTTCTCAAATGACTCTAACCTGTGTCAAGTTGATATAAACTTGGACAGAACATCTATATTTTCATGTAATTGGAGACGATGTGTTTCACTTTAACATTATATTGGTTGAAATGAGCATTCTTGTTTATTTATTTACTTTTACATTTTGTTTGTATGTATACATGCTGGCTTGTTTCTATGTGCACAGTATGTATGAAGTGCACACAGAAAACAGAAGGAGCTGTAGGATTCCTGATACTGAAGTTATCGATGGCTGTGATTCATCTAGCTGCTGGTGCTGGCACCCAAATATGCATCCTCATTAATAGCACAAAGTTTTAACACATAACAATCTCACCAGCACCCCAAGTTGATGATTCTTCACTCTTATTTTTTTAGTTTTGAATACAATCTAAAATTGTTTAAATTTTACAGATGTGATATCACTCAACAACTAGAAAGTATCATAATGTATATTGTTTTAAAATACATATAAATTGTCTTTACTTGCATTTTTATTGAAAGTATGAATACAAAATGTATATATATCGTGTTCTTATGTTAATAACCAACTAAAAACTTTTTAAAATTTAATTTTATTTATATATTTATTTATTACAATTATTCACTTTGTTGGGCCCCCTGTAGCCCCCTCCCTCATCTCCTCCCAGTCCCACCCACCCTTTCTCTTCTCTCCCTCTGCCCTAGGGTCAGATAGAAGGGGAGGAGGTCCTCCCCTATCAATTAAAACCTCTCAGATTGAAAGATGTTTGTTGTAAGTTACAGATTGATTACAAAATGATTTTTAATTCTATACAAACCTCATTTTACATTGTAGCCGTAAGAATCCTCTAGGCCTTATTGTTGCATTAGATGAAAATCAGACAGCAAAAGGAGACTTCTTCTGGGATGATGGGGAAACTAAAGGCAAGTCTAACAGTGTGCTCTTAATTATCCATTCTGGTGACTTACTGTTTTAGCTTTAGTCATACAAATTGCATTCGTAATGATATTTTTAGTATTTCTTCATAAAATTTGACTTGTATATGTGATTAATATATCAAATTTGTGAACTGCACATTATAAGACTTCTCTAAAATTGTATGTAATTTTTGTTACGTTAATATTGTAACTTGTCAAAGTTTCAGGTTTAGGAACTGCATCATGTTTTCAAATGTTTTGGGTTAATTCATTGTAAACTTTAATCATAAAATTTTATTAATGAAACAAAAAGGTAAACTCAATACTTTTAGCTTTATTTTTTATTTACATTATTAATGTCGCTGTCAAATCATTTAAGCTAAAGAAATTCAATTACCACTATCCACACGCCTTTAGTTTATATTTTGAAAATTTAGTGCAACCAGAAACAAACTAAATAATTAATAAAACAATCATGAGACATTTTATTTAACTGTGTAAATCATCCCTATTAATTTTATGTTTTTATATTTAAATAATCTTTAAATTTATCCTGAAAAATAGCTAATTCGTTTATTTTAATATGGGACACTTAGATATTAACAGTTTTATATGTGTCTACAAATATCATATAGTTTTACTTTGAACTCATATATCCTTAAATTTTATTACATTCACTTCCCTTCACATTTTCACCTTTATCTTCATTTTTCTTATAACAATTACTTTAGAACATTTTAGCTGATGCATTATACAGATATTATATAAATGTCTCCATTTACAGATTAAATCTAGTTTTTAGCAGCACTCTAGATTTATTCTCTTTTCTAATATAATAAAAAATAATAAAGAGATGTGAACTATAACTTTGCTATGTCACTCTACTCTGTCACCTCTTCATAAAATTGTATATTTTTAGGTAGGTAAAACGTAGGGTATAAACATAGCTTGAAATAGGAAATGATAATAACATAGTATTCTTTTGTTATTGCTTTATTAGTGGGGAGAGGGTCCTGCATATGTTAGACTGGGTGAAATTCTGATTCCCCACCTCTCCAAAACAGACATTAAAGGCTTGAGTCAATACACCTGACTAGAATAAGTTTTGTTTCTTCCTGGATTTCTAGATCATTTTTCTGCATATTGATAAATTAAACCAGATAATGTATTTAATAACTTTGTGAATAAGAAAATGAAATATCAAAAATTAATATCTTACTTATTTGAAAAATAGATACTTGTACCTGATATTTTTATTTTTGTTATTATAATGTAACTGTATTACAATTGTATAATTTCTCCTTTTTCTTTCCTCCCTTCACTCTTTCCCATATATCCCTTCATGTTCTCTTTTAAATTCATGGCCTAATTTTTTTTACTGATTTCTGGTGCTTACATACATAAACACACACACACATACGTACATACATACATACATATATGTGTATGGATTTGTTTGTGTGTGTGAATATCTTCTGCTCATTATGTATTATCTTACTTGTTCATACACGTTTTCACTTGGTAGAAGATAACCAGTTCCTGTCCTCTTCCCTGGAGAATGCTTTCTCCCACTCTCAGCATTCCTTAGTTGCTTGCAGGTGCTTGGGTAGGACTGAGGGGTCAGGAACATCCCCCACATTGTATCTACCCCACACTGCCCCTCTTCAGCTTCCCTTGCAGCTGCCCAAGCAAAGTCACTTTAATTTCCTGCCCTATTTCCTTAGCACTAGTTATTAGAAATGTAAAAATAAAAATTGTTTACAGCTCTTCATTATTATAATTTTAAAAGAACTGACTGTTATAAAATGGAAATAAGAGAAAAATTGGTTCAGTTTTATCTGATAACTATTTATTTTTAAATTTTAGATACCATCCAAAGGGGAAACTATATACTATATGAATTTTCAGTTTCTAATGTAAGTATTTTGGAGAAAATAAAATTATTTTAAACATTAAGTTTATGATTTATTATAGGCTACAACTGGGAAGTACTTAAATTTTTATGCAGTGTTCAAAAAACTCAGCATAATAAATTGACAAATTAATTGTTAACTTTGTTTTATTTATCATGAGCAAACAAAACTTTTTATTAACTAAATTAGATTAAATTTATAATGAAACGTGCGTGCATTGTTGTCTTTGTCCTTCTGAAAGTCTATTGTAACAACATTCTTAGGAAAATAATGTTTAATATATTCCATATATTTTAATATGTCAATTACAGTGATAACTCATGTTCATTTGGTAATAAGGATGAACATATATCTGAAAATGTGTTTTAATAATGAATAAGAAATTTTTCACAGATGTTTGATTTCTTTATCCTTTCTAACAATACTGAGTTATCACTGATCGATATAAGGATTAGAATAATAAGCATTACATATGACTGACCTCATATGTGATCTCATCATTAATTCTAAAAATAAAGTTTTATGGCATACATACAAACAAAATGAGTTATTTTCACAGTGACAACTGGTGGGTTGGAGAGGTGGTTAACTCAACCATTTACTTTCATTTTTATTCTCTTCCTCAATATAGTTAATATCAAGGGACTTAACATCTAACACTGTACACTTTTTTTTCTCAGAATAACTTGGTTGTTACTTGCACACATTCATCATATTCAGAAGGAACTGCCCTTGCATTTAAAACAATCAAAGTCCTTGGGCTGACGGACAGTGTGACAGAGGTTACAGTAGGAGAAAATGAGCAGCAAATGACTGCTCATTCCAATTTCACTTTTGATGCTTCCAATAAGGTAAACTGATCACTTTAAAGTGTCTGAAATGCTTTTCATGTTCTCTAATACTCACCTTGGAGTTCTCAATATTCAAATAGCATGTGGTTTTCTCTTTATTTTTTGTTCTTCAAAAAATATATCTGAGTAATAAATAATTATGAAAAATTACTGTTTCCTGTATTTTGACATAGTGCTAAATTTACACACATCATCAAGTTAAAAATTAATCATTAATGTTTTTCTTTCATAGGTTCTCTCAATTACGGATCTCAACTTCAACCTTGGAAAGAGCTTTATAGTTAGATGGAATCAAGTTTTCTTAGACACTGAGAGATTCTCCTGTTACCCGGATGCAGGCACAGCGACTCAGCAAGCGTGTGTACAGCGAGGCTGCATATGGAAGGAGGTAATCAGATTCCCTTATGAGTAAAGATATGATTTTCATAGGAGTACATCAGTAAGACATTTAAACATAAATGTTAAATTCAACAAAACATAAATTGTATTCAAATACCAAATACTCATTTGTATTTAAATACGAAATACTCATTTGGCATTTAAAGTTTGCACACTTAATAAACCATCAAGCTTCAGATGAATTAATTATTTAAAGATGTCGCTTAGCAGATGACGGATGAGGTGACCAGACAAACCACTTTTCATGCAGAATGGATGGTAAATGTTTCCCTTACAGAGAAGCAAATGTGTTTTACCTATACTATACATTGACTATAGGTGACTAGCTAAATTGGCAAGACATTTTGTCAGTGGTAGCTGATATTTCATAAACAATTTCTCAACCTATAAAAACTTGGATATGTGCCTAAGGGATACTTTAGTTATTTTCCCCATACTTTGGGAAGGAAAAATGAGGATGATTATTGTACACAGCAGATATTTGTGTCACTGCTACAGGAAAGAGGATGTGAAATGTTCTCATGTCCTGTGCTTGTTACTCACTTTGCAGCCTTTTCTTACATCTCTAAGTTTTGAAATCAGGCAATGTTTATTCCATAAATCAAGGTAATTAAATAGTATCAAAGAACTAAAGCTAAAAAACATCAGCCATCAGCTTCTCAAGGGACTGTTCTTATGTGAAATACATCATAATTTTGTTTTCAAAAAAATGACCTTTTTTCTTTTTTAGTAAAAATTCTAGAACAGTCCTTAAAATTAGTAACAATTAGGTATTTGATAAGTAAAGAACAATTTGAGGAGAGGAGCAATCTGAAGTCAATGTGAGCAATCTCAAATGATGTTTGCTACTCTTTTCTTCTGAATCATATTTTTTAATGCAGTCACAATGCAAAAGATAAATAGGAACACTTTTACTCAAACACAAATAACTTCTAAATGTGAAAATGTGTTGAAATATACTTTCCCAGAATCAGAAATATTTTAGAAAAAATATCAACTGGTGTCATGAAAACAGTGGCTATTCAGCAACCAGGGTTCACAAAAAGCAGAAAGACTAGTGCTTCTGAGACTAGATCAGTGGCAGAACAGCATCAAGAAATTGTGTCATCAGGGGTCTTTTCTGAGACTGACACTCCACCAAGGACCATGTATGGATAAACCTAGAACCTCTGCTCAGATGTAGTGCGTGGTAGCTCAGTAACCAATTGGTTTCCCATAGTAAGGGGAACAGGGACTATTTCTGACAGTAGGATCAGTCCTGCTAGGTCACAGAGGAGGACTTTGCAGCCAGCCCTGAAGATACCTGATAAACCAGTATCAGATGTAAGGGGAGGAGGTCCTCCCCAATCCGTGGACTTGGAAAGGGGCAGGGAGGAGATGAGGGAGGGAGGGTGGGATTGGGAGGGAATGAAGGAACAGATACAGCTGGGATACAGAGTTAATAAAATGCAACTAATAATAAAAATTAAAAAATAAAAGAAATTGTGTCATGAAAATAGATAATTTAAATCACCCAAGTGGTCCTTTTTAAGAACAATGAGTCAGCTTGAAGGGTGTTGATATTAAGATAAACATACGCCTAGACTGAATTTCTATTTTAGTTTTACCATCATTGTTGCCATGTTGAAGAGATTGATAAAAAGCTAGTGAATTAATTAAGTGTGGTAATATTGGAATTAGTCAGTGTCTAATCTTATACATATTTTAGCCAAAAGTCAAGAATTTTTGTTTTCTCATTAAGTGTGGAAAAAAGAGAAGACTAAACATTGACTTCAAGTCATTCATTTGAACAACTGGAAAAAGAAGCAGTGTGTTAGCAGAGATTGAGACATCTGTAGTTGAATAGCAGGCTGGGAGGTAGGCTTCTGTTTTCATATAAATCAAGGTTGATACTCCTAATAGATGTTCAATGTGCATCTAAACCACTTAAAGAATATTTTCTCATGACATATCAGGACATGTGTAGTGTTCAAGTTGTGAGAGGATGAGCAAATCAAGGAAGTGAACATGACAGAAAAGGAAAGACCAGGTCAAAACTAAACCCGTATCCTCATGCTTCTCCATCAGGAAAATTTTTAAAGTAATATAAGTATTAATTAAAAAGGTGGCCCCTGGACTGGAAGTTAAATATGCATTTTAAGCCCGATAAAATGATTTATTATTCAAATTACAGCTATATATCTATGAGATAAAGGCTGAAAATTGACACTTGGATTTGGGAGGATAGAAGCCATTGATATTATTGGCAAGAAAATTTGAATGGTATTTATAGCTGATTGAACTGAGACTAGAATAAAGTGAAAAACTGGAGATTTTAAGGTAGTGAATATGATAAATTTTTATTTTTCTGTCAAAAAAGAAAACAGAGCTATGAGGGGAAGATTTGTTGGGTGACAGTGTTTTTGCTTTCAAAATGGATAGAGTACAATCAGATAAAATTATAAAGAATAACCTCTCTGAATAGGTAGCCATGTAATAGAAACTGTGAAGCTGGAGTAGAAATGTCTTCAATCAGAGAGGCACTGGATACACAACTAAAATATTTTCATATTTGATATATAACAGACAGTACACATCATGTAATGGGAAATGACATGGTACATAGATGTGATATTCCATTCTGCATTTTATTCTGATTGCTCTTCCTTTCATACTCAAAGGATAAGAAAGACGATAATGTCATGTAAAAATAAGAAATTTGTTGCTCCGCAGTGAAGAATGTATGTTTTCGCGCAGGGTTAGTGAGAGAATGAGCCATGGAGAAGTCAACCATGGTTGCAACACTAGTACCTATTGGGTCTGTTGCAATTTAAGAAGAGTAAGTGAGCTACATGTCTCTGTATTACCTCAGTCACCAACATTTGCATTGTGTATGCAGAATCCAAATTAATTTTCCAGGACTGTTAATTTATATTGAGAACATTAATAAGGGCACATGGTTTAATGCCAATTAAAAATGAGAGAATTTCGTGATGGAGAAAGATGTAAGCTTGATAAGGAAGGTGTCAGAGACAAAAAGAGTAACAAGATAGCATCGAATGGTGTGGTAAATCCAGCTGTATTCAGACTGTATATAAATCATGTTGCTTATGCTGATAAGAAGCAATCACAAAATGTAGCTTCAGGAAACAATACAGAAAGAAATCACTGATATCATCAAAAAATGTAGATCTTTCCTAGAACTTAAGATACATTATTGTTTCTTTTAAGTCCTCCAGGCAGTCAAGAGTCTTCATATTTGTACTTAAGCTGACATCAATTTTCTTGAACCCTAAATATCCTAACTGATAGGGAAACCTCATAACTAATATATTCAGAACTAGTACTTTCAATGTCACAGCAACTTATTTACTTCTAAAATATACAGATTTACTGCCGCAGAGGCAGCTTGTATGAAAGCAAACACTTTTATATATGTCAAGTTTAGGCTGGAGCCTCCCAGATGACAGTCACTTTAAGGTGCTGTCTGCAAGCATAGCAGAGCATCCTTAATAGTATCAGCGACTAGCTCTCTGACATGGGGTGAGTCTCAGGTTATGGGGAATTGAGGCAAATGGTAGAACTTTCAGCCAAGAATGGGGCAGAGCTCCAGGAGTCCTGTGGAAGTCTTAGGGGAAAGAAGGAAGGACCTGGAGGGGACAGGGACATCACAAGAAGACCAACAAAGACAACTAATCCAGACCCGTGGGGACGTTGAGAGACTGAGATATCAACTAAGGAGCACGCGTGGTCTTTACGTAGGCCGCATGCACATAGGTGGCCCATGGGCAGCTTGGTGGATCGCCTGGCTAATGAAGGGGTGGGATGGGGGACTGTTTCTAACATGGACTCCTGCTTTTTTGTATCACTTCCCCTTGGCATCCTCAGGCGAGGATGATATGTTCATTCCTGATGTGACTTGATATGCTGGGGAGGGTTTTACAGAAATAGGTGGGGCCCTCTTTTCTGGGAGGAAGGGAGAGGGGAAAGAAGAAAGGGGGACTTGGAGGAAAGGAAAGAGGTGGCATACTTCCGATGTAAAGTAAATAAACTGGGATTTTATAAAAAGAACAGAAAAATTAAATTTAGGCAGTTAGAAATATATTGGGAAGCAAAAATTATTTATTTTCTCCCTGAATACTTATACAGGATTTTTTGGGAGTTTTATTTATTATTATTCATATTATTAATTTTGCCTGTATTTATGTCTATGAAGCATATGCATGCAGTGCATGTGAAGACCAAAAGGAAAAAAAAGAAAAGAGAGTGTCATTTGCCATGGGAATATAATTTCAAAAGGTTGTGAGCTGCCATATTGGTACTGAAAATCAAGCCCCTGAAGAGAAACCAGTACTCTTAACTAGTTAGCCATCTCTCTAACAGTCCCTAAACTAATGATAAAAGAATATAGTTACAAGTCTCAGTATCTGCTTTGATACACTGCTAGGTAGAGTCTTTCAGAGGCCTTCTGTAGTAGGCTCCTGTCCTGTTACTTGTTTTCTCCTACATCCAATGCCCATCCCATTTGTCTTTCTAAGTGAGGATTGATCACCTTACCCCAGGTCTTCTTTCTTGTTTATCTTCTTTAGATGTATAGATTTCAGAATGTTTATCCTATCTTATAGGTCTATATAAGTGAGTATACACCATGTGTGTTTTTCTCCTTCTGGGATACCTCACTCAGAATGATCTTTTATAGATCCCACCATTTGCCTAACCAAACCTTCGGCAGAGTGCAGGGAATCATATGAAAGAAGGGGGAGTTAATATGACCTGGAGAGGACAGGAGCTCCACAAGAACCATATATATCTGGGCACAGGGAGCTTTTATGAGACTGTTTCTCCAGCCAAGGACCATGTATGGATATAACCTAGAACCTCTGCTCAGATGTAGCCCATGGTAGCTCAGTATCCAAGTGTGTACCCCAATAAGGGGAACAGGGACTATTTCTGACATGAAATCAATGGCAGGCTCTTTGACCTGCCCCCCTCCCCCAAGGGAGGAGCAGCCCTGCTAGGTCACAGAGGAGGACTTTGCAGCCAGTCCTGAAGATACCTGATAAAACAGGGTCAGATGAAAGGGGAGGAGGTCCCCCCCTATCAGTAGACTTGGAAAAGGGAAGGGAGGAGATGAGGGACAGGAGTGGGATTGGAAGGGAATGAGGGAGTGAGATACAGCTGGGATACAAAGTTGATAAAATGTAACTAATATTTAAAAAATAATAAAAAAAATAAAAAAGAATATAGTTACTTTAAAATATTAATTCTGATGGGAACTATTAACAAAAGCGATTTTGTGAAATTAAAAAAAAAAACATTGCTCTGATAGAGTCATAATCTGAAACTCTCCAAATGTGGCCACTTTTACAAACAGTATTTTGAAAGAGAATCACAGTGTTGATATTAGAGATGGATTTGCTGTTAAAGGTTTCAATGTTTACACCTTCTGATGTTGAACATGTGTTGCTTTTAGGTGAATGTGCCATACAACCTGCCTGACTGTTACTTTCCTTCAGAACACGATCCCTACTTGTTAACTTCAACTCAATACTTTCCAACTGGTATAACAGCAGAACTTCAGTTAAATTCTGCAAATACCAGAATAAATCTTCCATCCAATCCCATATCCAATCTTCGTGTGGAAGTAAAATACCACAAGAATGACATGTTACAATTTAAGGTAAGTCTAATATATATATTTTTTTAGGAGAAAAAGTTAAAGAGTTTAATAATCTACTTGATTTCATTAGTTTTTGCATGTTGATAGATATAAGGTAGATATGCAGAATTGGACAACAATTCTAATTGCTCCTTTTTGGAAAGATGGCTTAAAATATGTGCTCAATGGGCAGTAAGAACAAACATTCATGTATTGACACTGTTTCTCTGCAATAGATTTACGATGCCAATCATAAGAGATATGAAGTTCCTGTACCACTAAACATTCCTGACACCCCTCAAAGCTCTTATGAAAACAGACTCTATGATGTAGAAATCAAGGAAAAGCCTTTTGGCATCCAGGTTCGAAGGAGAAGCAGTGGAAGGCTTATGTAAGTGATTACATTATTCGACATGAAGGAGAAAATTTTTAGTTTAAAAAAGCAATATGCTAACTGTTGGAGTTGTCTTAAATATTTTCCTGGTTTTAACATATTCATAGGATCATGTAAAGAATTCATCTAAAACTGTATTTACTTTTAGGTATGATTACTTTTGTTAATAAACATTAGATTCAATATTATACAATGTTAAGAATAATACAGGACTCATCTTAAAATACACGGTGAGTGTAAAATAAAAATTAGGAATGTGTTATGTAAATGTGATATTAAAACTATTGAGACTATTTATAAGATCTGGAATCTGGTACATATTGATGAAAATAAATTGAGGTAAATCTGAATTAATATTATGGTGAATAAATTTACTTAAAAGATCACTCTGTTTATTTTTTTCCTGATTGCATGATACTAAAGTGCATTTTTATTTAAGCTCATCATGCCTTCTTAAAATGATGTCAGATGCTGTCAGTTATTGGCAGTTTTTTTTTTCTTTTTTCTTTTACTGTCTTAAATTTTCTGGTCTTCATATCAGCCACAGCTCCCATATACCACAAACATCTTTTTAATTTGTAAGTGACAACTCCTGTGTTCATTCCCATCTCTGTCTGTTCCCACTTTCCTTCCCTGTAAGCACAACCTACTCACTGTGTATATTAAGACATTTCATTCTTTTGGTTAAGTGACTACTCATCTTTGCCATTAGAACATAATGAGAAATATCAAAACTGTGTACAAAGAGATCAAGATTTCTTTTTTTCTGTCCAGTGTCATCTTATTCAAGTTAATTTGTATTTATTTGTTCAAAAAATAAATATTTAGTTAAAGTGGGATTCCTGTACCTTTCAATCATGTCCACAATTATGTATTTCCCTGTCTTGTTACAACTTCCATTCTTAGCTTCTAGCTTGGCAAAAATTATAGTATTTTTGTTACATAGTTGATGTTACATATGCAGAATGGATGTATCTATTAGCTGTGATCTTAAGATATTTTGCTAAGACTCATAACCAAACCCTCGGCAGAGTGCAGGGAATCATATGAAAGAAGGGAAGTTAGTATGATATGGAAAGGATAGGAGCTCTACAAGGACCAAACATATCTAGGCACAGGGTCTTTTCTGAGACTGACATTCAACCAAGGACCATCTATGGATATAACCTAGAACTTCTGCTCGGATGTGGCCCGTGGTAGCTCAGTAACCAAGTAGTTTTCCAAAGTAAGGGGAACACGGACTATTTCTAACAGGATCTCAAGGGCAGGCTGTTTGACACCCCCCCCCCCCCGCCCCGGGGAGGAGCAGTCTGTTAGGCCACAGAGGAGGACTTTGCAGCCAGCCCTGAAGATACCTGATAAAACAGGGTCAAAATCAGTGGACTTAGAAAGGGGCAGGGAGGAGACCAGGGAGGGAGTGTGGGGTTGGGGAGGGAATGAGGGAGCGGGATACAGCTGGGACACAGAGTTAACAAAATGTAACTAAAAAGAAAAAAATAATAATAAAAAAAATTAAAAAAAAATAAAAATAAAAAAAAGATATTTTGCAGGAACTGACTTCTCTTTACTGCAAATGTGATACTGTATTCTTGAGCACATTTCTAGACCCTATTTATTTAAGGTTTTATTTTGCCATAAATGGAATGTATTTGGTATTTCCATTTACAGGTAATACTATAAATTTCTTATTATTCATTATATTTTAAATAAATAACTGAACATCTAAATAAAAAAAGAAAAAGAAATAAAAAGAAAATTCTGACTAACCTGGCTTTATAAAATTTTATTATAATTTTTTTTAGTTCAAAGGAGTAAGAAACAAAATCATTTAAGAAACAAACATTTGGGAACTCTTCATGCTCTCCTGTGCAATAATTTCAAAGTGACATAGAAGCTTTGAGAGAATTTCAGAATTTTTTGTAATAGTAATATCTCTTTTCATTCTCCTCACTTTTATTTCCTCATTTCTATTTTCTCACAAATAATTAACATAACAATGCATTCTTTTTAAATATATTTTTTACAAACCATGCATTATTAACACAAAATTCAATAAGAAAATATTTGAGTGTAGTAACAGGAAAAAACTACAATTGAAATATCTGTTATGATTTTACCTCCTGATAGGATTTATTTTTCAAATTAAAAAAATCAAAACAATAATTATACTAAAGAATAGATAAAATAGATTACATTTATTTAGGATATAAGTGAAGAATTCACTATAATTTTGATCAATTTTAAGATAGTATTAGACTAAAGATGAATACATATAATTATATTCTCTTCCTATATTTCATATAATGGTACAACAAACAAACTTATTTGGTAATCAACTTAGTCAAAAGAAAATATATCACAGTAATTACCTATATTCATTTGATATCTGGATATAATTAAAGGTAGAGGAAAAATGATCACTTTTCAGATTACAAAGAATTATCATTATTATTCGCAATGTTGCTTTGTGTATACATACTTATATTTAGTTTCTTTCAAAACAACAAAAAAATTGTAGTTATTCCTCTTTTATTGCACACACATACAGAGATTAACTGGTTTCCTTTGGTTTTCAGCTGGGATTCTCGGCTACCTGGCTTTACCTTCAATGATCAGTTCATTCAGATATCTACTCGTCTGCCATCACAATATTTATATGGCTTCGGGGAAGCGGAACACACAGCATTCAAGCGAGACTTAAATTGGCATACTTGGGGGATGTTCACAAGAGATCAGCCTCCTGGAGTAGGTACCAATTTGTTGCTATCAAATGAGGCAGCTAAGATAGTGATGAGAATCTACTTTACTAATTCACAGGCTGATAGCTCAAGACTGAAACACTTAATGTAAAGAGTACTAAAGATCTGCAGAACTGATGGAGTGGTTTTCTGAAAACAAAAACAATGTTGCCAGAACTCATAAAAAAATAGAAAAAATACAGTATGTTTACTATTTTAAAAAAGAATATTGAACTTTTTTTAGTTCTTTGACTTTATTTTTAATTTTTAATTTTGTTTGTCTTTAATTAGTGCTTCCTATGTACACATGGGCATAGGGTTATCTAGCGGAGCCAGCAAAACACACCAGTGGCCATTTGTAAAGAGTGACCATGTCTTCTTTGCAGTCATTAACTGCCACTAAGTCCTCATCCACAGTTCATATACAGATCCTTGAAAGAAAAATGCAGCTGCTACAAGTCTGTGTGTGCAGAAACAATGGTATGCTGAGTGCATAGCATTTCACAGAACTACTCTCCATCCCTGCCTCTTTTACACCCTGTATGTCTCCTTTTTTTTTTCATATTTTATTTTTTTCTTATCAGTTACATTTTATTAACTATGTACCCCAGCCGTGTCCCGATCCCTCATTCCCTCCCAGTCCCTCCCTCCCTCCCTCCTCTCCACCGTGCCCCTTGCCAAGTCCACTGATAGGGGGGACCTCCTCCCCATTCATCTGATCCTGTTTTATCAGCTATCTTCAGGACTGGCTGCAAAGCTCTCCTCTGTGGCCTAACAGGACTGCTCCTCCCTTGGGGGGTGGGGAGGCCAAAGAGCCAGCCATTGAGTTCCTGTTAGAAATAGTCCTTGTTCCCCTCACTATGGGAAACCAATTGGTTACTGAGCTACCACAGGCTACATCTGAGCAGAGGTTCTAGGTTACATTCATACATGGTCCTTGGTTGCATGTCAGTCTCAGAAAAGACCCTGTGCCCAGATATCTTTGGTCCTTGTGGAGCTCCTATCCTTTCCTCATCAGTCTAACTCCCCTTCTTTCTTATGATTCCCTGCACCCTGCCAAAGGTTTGTGATGTGAGCCCTGAAAATTTCTATACAGATGTGGATGTCCTAATATTGAGTAGTCACAATTGCTTGTAATCACCAGTTGAACATTGATAAACATCTGTGCCTTAAGCACACTACCTTCTATGATGTTTCTATGACCAAGGTTCCTAGCAGCTCAAATCTATGGAGATAAATGTAAATTTGAAAAGCAATTTGACAATATGACCATTTAGAAAAGCAACATGGGCAGGTTCTCTGCTAGAGCCCAAGACTTTCCTAGACATGGTTTTTGACCATGTTTACAACATTAGGTCTGAAACCCTCCTTTGGGCAGGTGTCAAATCCGATCAAGACAGCAGGTGGTCACTTTCATAAACTATCTTGCTTCTTGCCAGGTAGGTCAATAGTATATCATGTAGGTGATAGCATCAGTTAAGACCATTGATGTCTTTTCTATCCTCAAGAATCTGCAAAGCTCGTTCTAGCACTTATGAAAGCTAGTTTCTTAACTTTTTCAGCCACATAGAGAAAAACATATTCCTGAAATAAAATGCTTACAGTATATTTATAAGGAATATATATATTCATTAATAGTGATTTGAATCTATCCCCCTATATCCCACAGCTAAAACTCTAATTTTATGTGGTCAAATTACAACTTATATCCTTTAATTTTTTTAGTATGTTTTCATACTTCCCAGAGTTCTGTTTTGATAACAGAACACATTTATTGAAAAATAATGTTGCCATCATTTCAAATATATCATGAATAAATATGTTTTTAAAACTAGCTCACCCTCTCTATTACTTGTAATTGCTACTTGGAAGATATATTCAGTAACAATAAATTAATAATAAGTTAATATTGCATTCCTTTTGTGATAATATACACAATCAACTGCTATCTGTAACATACTGAAATTGTATCACATCTATTTGAAATAAGGCTGTATCAAATTATTTCCAAAGAACTCTTCAGTATAATATTAATACTATTTGATTAACTTGATGTTGATTTCACATGCTAATAAATTGCTGAAATTCAAGTTTGGCAACCCAAATTGTGTTCTGTATGGAAGTCTGTACCTTTATAAACTTTTTCTTTTTGTCAGTTTGATTATATACATCACTATAGTTATTTCCAGGACATTTTATTTCAGAAAAAAAAAAAAAAGCCAACTTACAAATGAAGTGAGACACCTGACTTCTTAACTACTCTAACATAACTAACAACAGGGCTGCTTGTCAGTTATTATCACATAGTTTATAAATGTTACATATTTTCATTTGCATGCTTTATGGAAGTATCAGTTCAAACACAAGAAGTAATATTTTAAATGAAGTAAATTTACTTTATTAAAGTAAAGTTGAGTATGCTAATCAGGAACATACTAATTCACAGGCTAAACTTTAATTAATTTAAACAACATTTTTTTAGTTCATATACTATTGATTCTAACTATGCATTATGCTTTCTTTATATTTCAGTATAAACTAAATTCCTATGGGTTCCATCCCTATCATATGGCTTTGGAGGATGAAAGCAATGCTCATGGAGTTCTGTTACTGAACAGCAATGGAATGGGTAAAATTTTATTTGTAAAATTTATCATATAAAATGGATGAATGTGATATAATAACAAATAACAGATAAAAATTGAGTTTTATTTTGGATTTTCAGATGTTACATTCCAACCAACACCTGCTTTAACATACCGCACAATTGGAGGAATCTTGGATTTTTACATGTTTTTGGGACCATCTCCAGAAGTTGCAACAATGCAATACCATGAAGTATGATTGCATATTCATTCAAAAACTATAAATCTTTATTTTCTTTCTTTCTTTCTTTCCTTCCTTCCTTCCTTCCTTCCTTCCTTCCTTCCTTCCTTCCTTCCTTCCTTCCTTCCTTCCTTTCTTTCTTCCTTCTTTCTTTCAATTTGTTCACTTTGTATCCTGGCTATAGCCCCTTCCTTCTCCTCCCAGTCCCACCTACCTGTCTTCCCCTATGACCCTTCCCTAGTCCAGTAATAAGAGAGGAAGTCTTCCTCTTCTATGAGACTCTAACTTACCAAGTCTCATCTGGGCAAAGTGCATCATCTTCCTCTATGGCCTGGCAAGGCTGCACACCTCAGGGGAGATGATAAAAGAGTCAGCCACTGAATTAATGTCAGAGCTGTTCCCCTTACCAGTGAACCCACTTGGAAACTAAGCAAGGATTCTAGGTTCTTTCCATGCATGGTCCTTGGTTGCAGTATCAGTCTCTGCAGTCCCCGCACCTGGGCTCAGGTTTTTGGGTTTGTTGAATACATATGGAGAGAGCGGGCAGTCTTGCTTTGTCCCTGATTTCAGTAGGATTGATTTAAGTTTCTCTCCACTTAGTTTGATGTTGGCTATAGGCTTGCTGTATATCGTCTTTACTATGTTTATGTATGTGCCGTGTATCCCTGATCTCTCCAAGACTTTAAATATGAATGGGTATTGGATTTTGTCAAATGCTTTTCGGCATCTAAGGAGGTGATCATGTGTTTTTTTTCTCCTTCTTCCTTTCTTGTTAATATGGTGGATTACATTGATAGATTTCCATATATTGAACCACCCCTGCATGCCTAAGATGAAGTCTACTTAGTCATGGTGGATGGTATCAATGTGTTCTTGGATTCAGTTCGCAAGTATTTTATTGAATATTTTTACATCAATGTTTACAGAGAGATAGGTCTGAAGTTAATCCTTTTTGTTGGATCTTTGTGTGGTTTAGGTATCAAGGTGAGTGTGGCCTCATAGAATGAATTTGATAATATTCCTTCTGTTTCTATTTTGCGGAATAGTTTGAAGAGAAATGGAGTTAGCTCTTCTTTGAAGGTCTGGTAGAATTCTGTGCCAAAACCATCTGGCTTTTTTTGAAGGGAGACTTTTGATGACAGCTTCTATTTCCTTGGGTTATATGGGACAAATTAGTTTATTCACCTGATCTTGATTTAATTTTGGTAAATGGACTCTATCAAGAAAATTGTCTATTTCATTTAGATTTTCAAATTTTGCAGCATATAGTATTTTGTAGTAAGACCTAAGGATGGTTTGGATTTCTCCAGTACCTGCCGTTATCTCCCCCTTTTCATTTCTGATTTTGCTGATTTGCATAGTTTCCCTCTGCCTTTTATTTACACTCACAATATTTTTACAGGTGATTGGCTTTCCAGTCATGCCACCTTACTGGGCTCTAGGATTCCAGTTATGTCGTTATGGATACAGAAACACTTCAGAGATTGAACAACTGTATAATGACATGGTGGCTGCTCAAATCCCCTATGTATGTATATAAATAATATATAGATCTGGTAAATATAGAATGGCTATTTATACGCTGTTTTCTTTAGGATTACAATAATGATTTTGATATTTTGGTAGCATCTTATGAATTAGATGTGAGATTTCTTTACATAATTTTGCCGGATACATAAGTAAGGATCTATAATATCCCCCCTTCCTTGCTTTCCTACTTTACCAAGAACCTGGTTTGTTCTAAACAAACATGTTTACATGTTTTTATTTGTAAGTTGAGAATTGCTTATTCATATGTATTCAATGTGTGCTGTTTATGCTTTTGTAATGTATGGCATCACTTAATATAACGAGTCTGAAGTAGTTTGACATGCAACCGTGTGATTTGAGGCCTAAGATATATAATTGGAATAAGTAAGGCTAAATGGCATGCTTTACAGAATATGTTGTTTACACAATACTTAGGAAATCAGTTTGTTTTTATAAATAGTAAATAATTCTAGTAACACATATAAACTCTGCATTTCATAAGTCTTTTAATATAAGACCTCATTTTGCATATATAACATATACATATATATATGTTATATATATATATATATATATATATATATATATATATATATATAACTGAATATTTTCAGTATTATCCTAGTACTACAGCTTCTTTTTTTTTTCATGAACTGGAGAAACTTAGGCTAGTGTGGATTGAGAGAAAATGGTTGAAAAATTAGTTATTTGAGACTCATTTGAAATTTACTAGTAAATTTAGAGTTTAACTATATTTCCAAATAATTAATTGTAAACGACGCATACTTTTAAACTATTTCCAAAATTAATTTTAAAATTATTTAAGAACAAAACTTTTATAATAACCCATGGAATTTTAAATATTTTGTTTCTTTTATCGCTGCCAGAATTATCTTAAATTATCCCAACATGATTTTTAGTTAACATGAGTACGAAAGCATTTCTTTTTCTACGCATTGAAAGTTCAGTTTTTAACTGACCGTATTACTATAATTTCAAAGCATTAAAAACCCTTTTTTCTGTTTTCCATGGAAATGAATACTGAAGTATTGCTGATTTAGAATATTTACTTCTCAAATAAAATTACTGTTGAATCATTGACCAATCCAATCGTCCATATAAATTAGTTGTTAGTCTGTTTTCCATTCTTTTTCACCTTTTTTTTTTCTCCTTTGCTATACAGGTGAAGCTATGCACAGCATTCAAAGAGCTCTTACCAAATTGTTATTACTCTCTATTTTAGGATGTTCAGTATACAGACATTAATTATATGGAAAGGCAACTAGACTTCACAATTGGTGAACGATTTCAAACACTTCCTCAGTTTGTTGACCGAATAAGAAATGAAGGAATGAAATATATCATTATACTGGTCAGTATCTATTTCTAACTGAATTATATTATTTGCATTTATTTTTATAAAGGCAGGACATGAAAAGATATTCACAAAGAAAAAGATTAGAGTCTCAGTAGTCAACAGATTTCCTTTCAGTCATTTGTTTGTTTGTTTGTTTGTTTATTTATTTATAGATTTATTTAATCTTTTTACAGCCTAATCCCAGCCGCCTCCCTCCTTTCCTCCAAGTCCCACCCTCATGCCCTCTCCTCCCATTCCCCTGTCTCCTTTTTCTCAGAGAACGGAAGGGGAAGTCTCCAAGGGTAACAAACCACCCTGGCACTGCAAGCCACAGCATGAATAAGCGCATCCTCTCCCACTGGGCCTGACAAGGCATCCCAGCTAAGGGAAAGCTGTCCAGTGCAGGCAACAGAGTTGGAAACAACCCCTCATCCCTTTTTTAGGGGATTCACATGTTAACCACTCCACATATCTGCCACATACATGTAGGAGGTCTAGGTTCAGTATCTGCTAGCCTCCTTGAGACCGGGTTAGTTGACTATGTAGGTCTTGTGGTGCTCTGATCCCTCTAGCTATCTCTTGCCTTCTTCCCACTCTCTCAGAGAACTCCCCGAGTAGGCTATTGTTTGGCTGTGGGTCTCTGCATCTGTTTCCTCAGCTAATGGATGAGGCCTCCCAGAAGACAGTTATGCTAAGTTTCTGACTGTAAGCGTACCAGAGTATCATTAATGTCAGGGGCTAGCTCTCTTCCATGGCGTCTCTGTTCCCTCAATCTCTGTTACATCTTTAGTGCTACACTTCTTGTAGACAAGACAAATTTTGGGTCGAAGGTTTTACGAGCAGTTTGGTGAACCCTTTCCCCCACTGGATTTCTCAGCTGGCTAAAGGAACTTCCTCGGTTTAAGAAGACCCAAGTTTTAAGCTCAGCGCCTATGTTGACTTATAACTCCACTCTTCTCTCTTCTGCAGCATGCATGGCACAGTGGCACACACACACAAATAAACGCAAAGTGTAAAATAATAAAACACCAATTTCAAGCTCTACTCCTACATATAAACTTATTCCCCATTAACATTTTATTTTACTTACTTAAGAGTATTACCAAATATTCTCAAGTAAGGCATATATATAAATATGCAACTCAAATGGCAGGAATTAAAGGCAAACTGTGCTCTAGTTCCCAATCAAGTCTTAAACAGGCTTCAACTTAGAGAAATGAAAGTAGATATTTTACCTCTATAATTTTTAGATAGTCTTTTGATTTTTTTTTTCTGCTCTTTTGCTTGTGTAAAATTTGGTCACCACTGTGTTAAATAAAAATAATTAGTGTAAAGATAAGTTTGTCAATTTAGGGAGCAAAATAGACAATTGGAAAATTCTTCAGGCAAAAATGAAACCAAAAAAAGCATTTAGTAAGCTTGCTAGAGTTCCTAGCAGGTTCTTTTGAGAGTTTCTTAGAATACAGCTGTGGCACTGGGGTCTTTTCTTCAAATGGGAGCAGAAGGTACTGTTAATACAAAAGTAGAAAGTTACAATGTCTCTGAATGGCCACCCAACAAGTTGTAGATTTGTTCAGCATTTACTTTGTTTTAATTTTGTATTGTTATTTTAATTTTAGGATCCAGCAATTTCAGGAAACGAAACAGATCCTTACCCTGCCTTTGACAGAGGAATACAGAAAGATGTTTTTGTCAAATGGCCTAACACAAATGATATTTGTTGGGCAAAGGTACTCAACATCCTTAAGTTGAATAATGCTAGATATTTCATTAAATATTTTGAAAGCATATTCGAATGAGATATTACTATATAAATGTAATAATTAAAATATAAGTACTATTTGATCAAATCTGAATTATTAGGCACAAATAAAGAATTCATACAAATTATAAAAAATTAAATATTTTATCATTAAATTGATTTATTAAATTTTAAAATATGTTTTGTGTTTTCTAATTAAAATTCCAACAGTGAAGTGGCTGTACTGTGACAAACACATATTTACTTTTGTTAAAAGCATCTTATCGATAAAAAAGAGTAATAGTTTGGGGATTTTTTCTTTGTTTTCTGTTGTTGCTTTGTCTTTTTGTTTTGTTTTGTTCTGTTTTGAGGACTAAACTTACATGACTAAAGTGAACAAGGAAAATCATTCACTAAACATTACAAGCACTAATACTGCGATCCAAGTGAATTACGGAAATATCTGCATTTGATTTCCATATAGTATTCCTAAGGATTAAACAGGATGAGGGGTTCAAAAGAATGGAAACTCAGAATGATCTCTATGTTATCAGACATTCACTGGTGTGGGAGGGACCAGCAGGACAGCTCTGAGGCTGTAGAAAAAGGATTGCTTGGTCTCAGAGACTGTAGCTGAGAGTTGGAAGTGGAGAAGTAATGGCTTGCTCAGACCTGGAAACTTTTTCTGCATAAACTGTGGGCTGGCAGTGCCTCTACTAACATATTCCTAGTTTATGTTGCGGACAGACCTCATTCATCTTGAACTACTCTTCCATTAATACTTTCTTACAGGTTTGGCCAGATTTACCTAACATCGAAATAGATGAGACTATAACAGAAGATGAAGCTGTTAATGTAAGTTTTGTATTGCTGAACTTTATACCAAAAAAAAAAAAAAAATTCAGAATTTGGAATAAAAGGTCATATTAACATATGATTGAATTGGAATATTTTCTTTAAAAAGAGGAAGCTTATATTTAAATATTTTCTATAGATTATTTTAATTGCCTTTACCTGAAATATGAAATTTTATGAGTAACTAGCTGAAACAATTATATGTTTTACATTGTTTTCATAGGACAGTCATATTTAAGATTGTCATATTATGATAATAATGCTTAATGTATGGTTTCAAACCCAGGACAAAAAAGCTGGGATAGCTCTTTAACTTTGACAGGTTTTCTCTGCCTACTCTATAAGCCAATTCCAGCCAAATTAAGAGTACATAATGTCAAGTTTATTGGGAGCAGCTCTCTATTGGAGGGTTCATTGATCTTACAGGAGGACATCAGGGAAGCAACTATGCAGATGAGGAGATAGAAAAACAGAGGAAACGGGAAAGCAGGCAGGCAAAGAATGGAGAATTGCAGAGAGAGAGAAAAGAGAAAAAGGGAGAGGAGAGAGAGAGCACGCTGCAGGTACTAAGTTGTACAGGGAGGACCTATAGGAACCTTAGCTGTTGAATCTCAACAAACATAAGATCTTATTGTAAAGTTACTTTTCTTTCCTTCATTATCCTATATCACTGAGCATAAAACTCCTAGATTCTGTGATAATTAATAAAAAGAGAAGTATTATCATGCTCATCTCAAAGAATATATATTTCTTCTTCTTCTTCTTCTTCTTCTTCTTCTTCTTCTTCTTCTTCTTCTTCTTCTTCTTCTTCTTCTTCTTCTTCT